CTATATGTTTTTACAAGTAACCTTATATTAAGGTTTATATATCAAGGCTTTTTATTGAAACAAGGTTTGTATGTATGCCCTGACACCCCTCTGATTATTGGTCCAAACCTCAGCTAAATATAGATTACCCATAATCCCCAGACTGTGTAGCACATGGAGAGATACAGTGGCCTTTGTTTACCTACAAGTTGGGAATACCTCCATCGGCTGATACATACATTCAGAGAACACACTTTGGACACTTTGTGGTGAGTTTGTCTGTGAGAGAATATTAAAAAATAATCTGTGTGGAGCTGTGCATTAACTGACTCCCTCAGTCAGCGATCTCTCTGACTATTGACAGTTTGTTTTTTTGGTCATATGACTGACTATATTGACCTATTTCTAAGTTGTTGTGACGAAGGAATGTCCCACAGAAGGTGAACAAAGGTAGTGTGATATATAGCGTATTACATGTATTGTACCCATCTCTTGTATTCAATGTCCGTATTAACTATGCTTTGCTGAAGCCACAATGGCCATGTTCGTTGTTCGGTCATAGTAAACAGATTTGTGTTCGAAACAATTTAATGATATATGGTGTGCTTATATTCAGTGTGGACAGCTGGAAAGAACTATCTTTGTTTCAAGATAATTATTTCTGATTGATTTCAAAAACACATGACAACTCAATGCACGACCAGTGCATCACAATATTTTGTGAATGGGGGAAGGCATTAAAGCCTCTTGAATTGGATGTTGTGATGTTGGGTGTTGATGCATGTATATTCAAGTACCCCTTGTCTTATGAAAATATTTATTTTATGTCTTTATATGCATTAGTTTGTAAGCTGTTATTAGTTGAAATGCGCTTCAAATGTTTTGTTCAATATATTTTATGATGGAGTTTCCGGACACTGTTGTGGATATAACAATATCTTCATATCGTGTCATTACAACCCCAGTTAACAGAGATTCTTATTATTGGGTTAAAATTTGGTTAAAAATGTTATTCACTTAAAAATTGGTGTTTCATTTTACATTTCTTACATTCCTAAATTCAGTAGTATTTTAACTTTATTTTGAAACACCATCTATTTCTGTAATTGTACGTAGGCATTAAAGCCTCTTGCTAAAAAAATTGTCCACTTACCAGTGAAAAAATTATCACCTCTCAAAGACATAAAGTTAGTTATAAATATTACCGAATTAATTTGGAAATGTATAATTACAGTTTGGAACATTTTGATGACATTTGCAGACCTAGGGTGAAAGACTGACCTCTTGTTAACTATCGTCAGTGTATATGACCTAGTCGACAGGTATTGATGCTATTTCTAGCGATGACCGAGTCAGTAATTCCTAGTCCTGACAAGTCACTTCCTTCTAGACTACCAGTAGATAAATTGAAGTTTCTGTCACCATTGGTCATTGTTTCAATAATTACCATTCTTCTTATTAATCTTAACTCAGAAACAGGAATAATGAATTAAGGTCGGATGCATGTTTTGATTTCTTTGGAAGGAATATATACTTTGATATATACTGTGATATATATTTTGATATACTGGAATATATACCATGATACATGTATATACTTTTATAAATACTGTGATATATACCAGGATATATATTGATATATACTGTGTGGTGTAGGGAAGTGTTTTTGTGGTGCGTGTGGATGGTTGAGGGTGTTTGGCTTGAGTGCATTCGTGTCACATATGCATATGTTTATGTTTATGAAGCTGATTTATCAAACATATTAAGCATTCAGATGTTTTGTTGTCCATTGGTTAGAAATGGTGTCAGCTGGGAAGTAAAGGTATTATCACTGATTTCACAGAAATCCAAAGGTGTAGTCTGAATGTGTGCATGTACTACTTGAGAATTATTATACAGAACTTCTAAATAAAGATAATGCATGATCACCATGCTAAGTTTGTAATTATCTGAATTAATTTCATAGAGATTATCTGTTGAAAGCTCAAGTGGAAAAATAATGAATGTGACAGAAAATTGAAGTATGTGGGATGAATTATGATAGTAATATCCCTGGTAATAATAATAATAATCCACCATCGTCGCCCTGGTCAATAGATCAGTGTGCCTGATGTTCTTGTCTCATCTTGGGGCGGTGGAGTAGCCTAGTGGTTAAAGCGTCCGTTCATCACGCTGAAGACCTGGATTCGATTCCCCAAATGGGTACAATGTGTGAAGCCCATTTCTGGTGTCCCCGCGGTGATATTGCTGGAATATTGCTAAAAGTGGTGTAAAACTCAACTCACTCACTCACTGACTCTTTATATGTGATCAGTTATGCATGTTTGTAACCAATGATTTCCATTCTGTAAAGAGTACTGAAAAGAAATTAATACAAAAATTAACTTTGAAGCTATGAAAGACAAAAGAGACATGTTTCTTTTTTTCTGAATCATAATTTAAGACACATGACAAAGCTATTGGTGATGGCTTCAAATTGTACACATTGTCTGGATCAGCTAGACTAACGTTTTGGCCTGAGACTTTCCCCGACATCTAGCTTACATAACTAAAAACGGGTATGTCAACAGTTGTTTGAGACTTAATACCGTATTACAGAGTCAAGTCACAGCTATCTAACTCACTGGAGGATTTGTCACAGACACAAACCTTTTGCCATAATCTCACCTTGACCTTGACCTTGGTCTCTCCTGGTTTGTGAGCCCATTGTACTTGTTCTATTGTGTGTGTGTGTGATGTGTATCGTAGTGTATTCACATGTATTTATTCCATGCATGCTGCTGGAACATTATTTACTGATAGCTGACAGAGAAAGTGGCTAACAATTTGGTATTGTGCTTATAACCTTTGATATGAGAAAATAATGTAACCAGGCAAGCTTGTAGCTTAGTTTCTTCATATTAAGTGCTAAATTTGTAGCTGTGGTTGGAATGGGACATGGTACAGTCAAATACCTTTAAAACGAACTCCAAGGGACCATTGACATATAGTTCGTTATATCCGTAGTTCGCTATTCACTTTATTATATGATAATGTAAGGTTTATTCGGGACTTTTAAAACAGTTCGCTATAGCCGTCAGTTCGTTATATCCGTGTTCGTTATAAAAGTATTCTACTGTACTTTACAATGGATTATTTGTTAAATTTAAAAAATATTGCCATGAATTTTATTTGTCAAATTATTTTTCATTTTTATAAACTTCAACATACTGATTTTGTTTTTTAAGCATATGAAGTTTTAGGGAGAATAAGTGCAAAATATTCTTTTTGTAGTTGTTACCATTATCTAATAATGCTCTAGATGATAACGCTTTATGTTGTCTTGAGAGGTGGATCTGCTTATAGACATGGATAAGCTGTATGTCATAGACAAACATGTCAACGAGGTTGGTTGTGTGTTTTTCAGGATGGTTAAATAGTGATTGTTAAGCCTATAAGCTTTAACTTTTTACAAGACAAGCATTTGGTTTTACAACATACAAAAAAATGGAAATTTCATTTTGAAGAGAGTTAAAAATGATGATTCAAGTATTGATAATGTGTTTTTGTACAGTAAATGCCCACATGTGTCCCAACTTGGTCATTCACCAAAGGGTTCTTTCGCTGTCATCGTTCGTGCGATTCCTCATATTCGTGGGATTCCGATAAGTCCTCAAGAACATATGCTGGTCAGAAGAGGACTTAATTGGATGAGGTGGTCAGGATCTGACTGGCTTGCATGTCATTTTGACCAGACCCATGAAGGTCCGGGTTAGAATTGATCTTCAGTAACCTATGCTTGTCGTAAGAGGCGACTAACGGGATCGGGTGGTCAGGCTTGCTGACTTGGTTGACACATATCATCGTATCCTATCACGTAGATCGATATTCATGCTGTTGCTCCCTGGATCGTCTGGTCCAGACTCGATTATTTACAGATAGCCGCCATATAGCTGGAATATTGCTGAGTGTGGCGTAAAACTCAACTCACTCACTCATTTTGCCCAGAAGACATGGGTTATTCTTCATAATATCAGTCACTGCATTGTCTGATCCAAAGTGGATCCAGGGCGGTGGGGTGGCCCAGTTGTTGAAGCATCCGCTCATCACACCGAAGACCATGTTTGAATCCCTACATAGGTATTAGGTGAAAATGCTGTGTATTATTGGAATCTTGCTAAAAGCAGCATAAAACTATTTTCACTCACTCACTAATTGGTAGAATTTCCAATTCAACTGGAATCTCAGATTGATCTGTGGGCAAAAAACAAAGACACTTTATTTGCTGAACAATAATGTGCATTTTATTTCCAGTCCAACAGATAGTACATTTGCGGCTAAAATGCAAATGTGACTTGAGATTATATTACAATATTGCAGATACCCTTTCTTATGTACAAATGCGTAGCAAATATACATGGACAGGTTTTCAATTTCTTTAGTATTTGAACTGTTCAGAAGTTGTGAAAACTTAAGCCTGTTTGGATGGACATACATTTATGGCTAAAATACAAATGTGACTTAAGATTATATTACAATTGTAATGTTTGTGTGATGTGGTGATCCAGCCGTTTGTAAAACTCCGCTAAAACTCACTGTTGTGACACTATCGTAGAATTGCATTCTCTACTAGTAGGATCAGATTGGAGCTTCTACTGGTAGAGATTGTGATTATATAGGTAAATCCTGTATAATCAGAGTCTCTACCAGTAGACACTCCGATTGCAATCTCTATTGGAAGAATCTACGATTCTACCAGCTTGCAATCTCTACCCTGACACATACATGATCTAAAGATATGGGGCGGTGGGGTAGCCTAGTGGTCAAGGTGTTCGATCGTCATGCCGAGGACCCGGGTTCGATTCCCCACATGGGCACAATGTTTAAAGCTCATTTCTGGTGTCCCCCGTCGGGATATTGCTGGAATATTGCTAAAAGCGGCTTAAAACTGAACTCGCTCACTTACTCTACAGAAATAGTTTCACAGAGGATAGTACATTTGGCACTGTCATGACATTAACATTGTGCATTTGTGTTTACAGGAGGTGGGGTCTACCAAGATGGGTGAAGAACAGTTGACTGAGGCAGCCACAATATCGTAAGTTGACCTGTTGACTAGATTGAAGTTGTCTTTCTAACAGTACCTCATCTGTACTATTTTCCCTGCCACCAATCAAATCATTTTCTGTAGAGTTCTGAATCTTCCTTCTCAACATTGTTTCTCTTAATTCACATGTGACCCGTGAAGATCCGGGTTAGAATTGGGGATGGGTATTGCAGAGAATTTTCATATTGAGATATATTGCGATGCGAAAGCATGTATTGCGATATGTATTGCAATATATTGCACGAAGTATTTTTATACAAAAAACTACTTATAATCGAGTTAATGCTTAATTTTATAGAGCAAAAACACAACAAAATCTCTATGATAAACTTTAATAAGACTTTTTAATCATGATAAAATAAAAATGTGAATAATATTTGGCCCAAATGAAACAAGAAATATCCGAAGATTTCCGAGTGTTACGAAGTTTTCTGAATGCAAGTCAAAATACCGGTTTTCGATCAGCGTATCGCAATACGTATCGTTTTCATGTCTGAACCGGTAAATACCGGTAAACCGGTTATATTTGCGCAGCCCTAGTTAGAATTGATCTTCAGTAACCCATGCTTGTCGTAAGAGGCGACTAATAGGATCAGGTGGTAAGGCTTGGTGGACACATGTCATCAGTTCCAGGTTGTGCAGATCAATGCTCATGCTGTTGATCACTGGATTATTTACAGACCACCGCCATATAGCTGGAATATTGCTGAGTGCAGCATAAAACTCAACTCACTCACTTAGTTTTAAAGTGGTTATTTGTTTCTATGAGACTTTGGAGTCAGTAATGTTATGCGATAATGTAAGAGACTTCACCCACAAAACAGTGAGTTGAATCTATTCTCTACTCCAAACAGTATATTGGTGTAGTCTCATGGTGAAAGTATTGGCTCATGAGGTCGTAGATCCAGGTTCAAGTCTATTTGTGTTGACCCCCAACATGCTGGGACTGCCTCCGTGGTGTAGCGGTTAGAGCGTCCGCCCGGAGAGCGGAAGGTCGCGGGTTCGATCGCCGCGTCATACCAAAAAACGTTAAAATATGGTACTTGTTGGTCCCTGCCTGGCGCTCGGCATTAATGGTTACAACAAGGACTGGTCGGCTCGGAGTCAGTATACTGTGTCTGAGTGGGGTATTCATGCTTCACTGCGGCATGGTATCTCAGTGGGCTAGCACTATAAAACCAGCTTCAGTCTGGGCTAGTACAAGCAGCCGCACATGCACATACACACGCATGCACGTCGTCATATGAGCGAAATATTCTCAAGCACGACGTAAAGCCTAATTTCACCTCACCTCACCCAACATGCTGGAATATTGTAGCAAGTGTATGGTGTAAATCTCACCCACAGTGTCAGTCCTTTGACAGTCATCATGGAAGGCTGAAGAAGAATCTAGAACAGACGTTGTTGCATCTATTCCTGTGTTCTGTAAACAGATCAAAAATCAAAGTTGGGGCGGTGGGGTAGCCTAGGGGTTATAAAGTTATAGCGTTCGCTCGTCATGCCGAAGACCCGGGTTCGATTTCCCACATGGGTACAATGTGTGAAGACCATTTCTGGTGTTTCCCACCTTTATATTGCAGAAATATTGCTAAAAGCGGCGTAAACCTAAACTCACTCACTCACTCACAAATCAAAGTTGGTCTGAGAGTAGGTGATGTTCAGCATCTTTACTCGTGAGAGTTTCAAGGGCTCAGACCCTGTCGCACAATCAAAGACAGTTACATTTGGTGTCTCCTCAAGATTTTGTTTGAAATTTGTTTTTTTATACCCAGCAGCGAATGGGTACCCAGCAGGATTGTAACCTAGAGCCTCCCAGACAGCTTGGGTGGTATATCCTTAACGAGTTTACTCTGGTCCACTAACCAAGCTTATCAGAGTAGCAAAAATCTAGATGCTTGAATACGATCTTGATGAAAGAGAATGTGTCGCATTATAAATACAATAAAATATTATTCATATTGACAATTTCGTGGATCAGAGGGCACATACAGAGGAATATGTCAACTGTTCTGTAATATAATTGGCTCTCTAAGAGAGACTACCAAGAATTTCAGATCATTTTTCGGTAGTAATGAGTCCCCTCCTCACATAACCACTACCTGTGGAAATAATTGGCTTCACGAGCAGATTTGTTCATGTATGAGACAAGGTTTTTCCAGGGATCAATGACCAAAGTCCCATGGTAATCTCACGGCTGATAAACAATAGTCCTCAGTGGTTTGGAGAAGTGTGAAAGCTTATCAAAGCCGCCTTGTGAAACCTTGTGAAGCATGCAGATGGGACCATCTTTAAAAATTACCTTTTTCAGGCAATGTTACTCAGTTACATGATTTTCAGTTAAATGGTGTTGATATTTGTTTCATTTTCTTAAATATTAACAGCCTACAGACGTGTAGACACAAATGTTTGCTGTTTCTTTGTTGCTTGTCTAATGTCGCACGCTCAGCACTATTCCAGCTATATGGTGTCGGTCTGTAAATAGTCAAGTCTGGACCAGACAATCCAGTGATCAACAGCATGAGCATCAATCTATGCAGTTGGGATAGTATAACATGTGTCAACCACAAAACTAGGTACAACAGGTGAAGTTCAGGTGCAGAGGCTATGGGAAATCGGGGGTAGGAACACGTCAAAACTGCCTGTCAGATATGTGATGTACAAGTTATGTATGTTACCATCTGCTCGTTCACCATCTGTCACATTCTTTATTGTTGATATTGTTGTGATGTACATGGTTGTGTCCCTTAGCTGGTGGGGGATGCAGATCCCGGGTTTGCTCAAATCATCTCTTCTGTTCTCAGCAGCTGAGATAATAAAATCTCACATTGTAGTTATTTGTTTCGAAGCACACATTCTGCTGTATTCAAGGTATATGCATAACATGAGGGCAGCTAATGAGTCGCTGAGTGTATCTGTAGTAGGGTGTTATAAATGAATATACCCCATTAGATTTTGTTCACACTGTACGACAATTGGGAATATTTGTGCTTCATCACCTCTGTTATAAATAATCAAGCTTGAACTGTCAGTTAATGTTAGAGTAGCATGGTATACAGGATTCTTCAAGCTAAACTGGATTTCATTGGATTTAGAATGACAGAAATGATAAATAAAGATTAATGAAGGAAAGATAGAGATATTGTAATTAGTCAGGTGATATTTCGTGTTTAATTCAGTTCCTTGGCCATATCAGGATAAGGTCAAAATAATTAAAGCAAATATAATGGGTTTTGTTGAGGTTGGGGCTCTTTGATGCTTGTATGGTTGTATATGACCCTGTGGCATTCTGTCGATAAACAGCGAAAGCCAGGGTTTGGTTTGAAATGTTAAGTAGAGTGAAGTCATTAGGGGTTTTAAAGGGGAACAGGGGAACACAGATTCCACATATTTAGAATTAGCAATATTTAGTTTCAAATCTTTTCTTGTTTAAATTGTTCAGTGTAAAGCAGGGTGTGAAATAGTTCCAAATTTTTCTAGTCGGGCTAGCTATGCCTGAAAGTTACTAGCCCCCAAAAATAATTCACTAGCCCAAACTTAGAATGTAGAAACTAAGAGAAAGATTACAAAAATAGATGAGAATAAGATATTGTTGGCATGACAAGGGTTTCATCATTAAGCTGCTATTATGGTGAACATTTTTATCAGGCCATAATCTTGCATGATTTAAAGGTGTATGATAACTTAACAAGTCGGAGAAAGTAATATATTTACAAAATGACCCTATGAAAAAATTCACTAGCCAGTCGGGCCAGTGACTGAGGATATTTATGGCCCGACTTGAATTTTTACTAGCTATGGGCTAGCGGGCCAGTGGCTATTTCGAACACTGATGTGAAGCAATTTCTAAATTTGTTCAATTAAATGAACTGATGAAGTGAACAGTTACATTAAAGTAAAGTTACATAAAGCACATGCTACTTTCAGCGGCATTTATTGTTATATTATCATGATTATGTTGGTGGAACATCCTCCTGTAGACCCTCATGACGGACAGCTTAAAATAATGATTGACAGTTTAAACCATGGCAAGTGGTTAAACACACACCCAGCAATTTAAAAAGATAATCCATATTATTTGCTTTGTTAATAAGCACAAGGTCCATATTGTCAATGGCCTTGAAATGTTTTCAACAAAGAGATACAGTAAATTTCATAACAGAGTGAGTCTATCTTGATCATACTTAAACAGCTGAGTTATAAATCCACACACCTCGAGAGATTTACGAGGACGTTCAATGACCACTTATATTGTATAACTTCACAGTCTGACATAACTAAACAGCATCACATCAACCTTGTAATATTTTCCACATTGAGAGACACAAGCGTTAAATTTGCATAACAGAATAAGGCACCCCCTGCAGGATCCAATTCATAAGGTCGTGTGGTAATCTGTGGAGAACCTGTTTGATGGGAGTAGAGAACAAGCACCTGTTTATCGTTTGTCCTGACTTGGTTGTTTCTGTTGAGCTCCACTAAGCTGTGGCCCATTAAATCCTGCAGTACACAAGTGGCTGGTGGCTGTCGTCTATTATGGGTTGAGATGATTTTTTCCACTTATGCGATAAACCGTGAATTCACCGAGCTAAATAACAGACATGAAAAGGTCATTTTGGTGTTTTGTTGAAACATCAGACATCAGACTGCCATATTAAACTTTTCTTAGGAACCATTCATACATTACAGGGTCATAGAACGAAGGGCAGGTGCTTTCCAGTATAAATCTCTAGGACTGGGAGGTGGTAATAAAAATAACACATATATGTCATTAAAAAAATGGATATTATGTGTTAAAGTATAAAGTGCTTTTTGTCAAGGAGAGAGGTTTATTGGAGAATTATGACCAGCATGTTGGAGGCATATTATTACATTAGTGCATTAAAAACGTCTACTACAGCTAGCCACCCCTGTGATAATGCACAGTCCGAATGGAACTAATATTCTTTAAGAAACATAATTGATTATCATTTTAATTCATCTGTCTGTTTGTGAAAAAGTAATTCTGTGTATTAAAATATGTTACTATTGTTAGGTGAGGTCATATGACGACGTGCATGCGTGTGTATGTGCAATTGCGGCTGCTTGTACTAGCCCAGACTGAAGCTGGTTTTATAGTGCTAGCCCACTGAGATACCATGCCGCAGTGAAGCATGAATACCCCACTCAGACACATTATACTGACTCTGAGCCGACCAGTCCTTGTTGTACCCATTAATGCCGAGTGCCAGACAGGGACCAACAAGTACCATATTTTAACGTCTTTTGGTATGACGCGGTTGGGGATCGAACCCCCGACCTTCCGCTCTCCGGGCGGACGCTCTAACCACTACACCACGGAGGCGGTCTACTATTGTTAGGTAAAAAATGCATTTGTTATTTTTCATATCAAATATACATTTTACCCAAATATTAGTTGTGCGGTATTCACGATAGGGAGCCGTCTATATTATCAGTATTGATCACAGTTTCCCTTCGCGGAAACAAACTAAGCAGCCTTTGCAGGCACCGTTTTTTTAAAAAGATGTGATTTTGTTAAATTTATTCAAGTTACAAGCGAATGATGATTACATATTTTTTCATAAGTAATAATTATTCCTCTGTAAACAGTGTGAAACAGTCATCCAGCATAATTAATTTGTTTCTAGTCCTTTTAATGTCAGGTGAACCGATACTGACGCTTCACATCCAGCTCTGAATACTTAAACACTACCTCTAAACCTGCCTGAACCCTAATTAAATAAATGTCTGCTGTCACTTCCGTGAAGAAACACCACATTCTGGAAATGTTAAAAATGTTGACAACTTGGCCTTTTATTTAAGTAGGATGTTTGTATGGATAATTGCTCGATGACATTCACTGTTGGTCCGTGATTCTTTGGAAATAGAACTCACCGGTCCAGGTGGCTGTGTTGCTATGAACCTCCATACTGACTGGGATATTTACTGTCCAAGTATTGTTGTTTCCATGACGACTTTGTGGACTGCTGCCTATTTTGTTGATCATGATGACAAGTTCCATTGATCTTGTATATAAATATCTGTAGACAGTGGAGACACTAATGACAGTTTCACTGGAATGGTGTTCGATTTTCGATGGCTGGCTACCGTAGTTAGTCTAAAAATATCACCCAAAGTATACACTCTGGAGTATTCACATTTTTCATATTGTCTTCGGGTGGTGGGGTAGCCTAGTGGTTAAAGCGTTCGCTCGTCAAACCGAATGCCCGAGTTCAATTACCCACATGGTTACACTGTGTGAAGCCCATTTCTGGAGTCCCCCACCGTGATGTGGCTGGAATATTGCTATACTCACTCACTCACTCACTCATATTGACTGTGATCATGAGAGTAATCATTATAACCAGGTGTAACATCATTATGCAGTAGAAGATATAAAAGGTGTTTGTTAATTATCGAAAATACATATATATATATATGCCCGAGAGGTAAATAGTGATTGTTGATAATTAACTGTATTTGTTCATTTTTGCAGTGCCTTTTCAATTGTGGATACGTCCCGCCTCTCAACATTTGTCATCTCTATCCTGCTCATCGTCTATGGCAGTTTCAGGTAAGAGATGATGATGATGATGATGATAATGATGATGAAAGTCGTTTTAAGAAGTCTATTAGTTGTTACGAGAGAGTTACGAGGAAATTACCCTACTTAAATTATATTCAAAGTATAGGTAATTTTAAAAACCAAATGAAACGATCTATCTAAGTCTTACATTTGAAACTGGTACACATCGCTCCATTCCTGCGAGCAGACAATGGAATGACGTCATAAATGTAATTTAATGAGACATTTATTTAGAAAATACCCAGTTTGGGTCATGAAGTGTCTGGTCTTTGGAGTATTTACTATTGAAGATTCTAAAGATATGCCATTCAAAACATAATACAACCTGTTTGGCCATACTTAAGGTATAAACCATGATCTTGTATAGCAGATATTATAAAAGACGAGCAGCACTGAAGTTATATATAATGCGGTACATATGTCATATAGCCTGTGTTGTCTGTCATGGCAATTGCAGTGTGGTAAAACTTTTGTTCTTCTCATGCTGGAGACCAAAAAACATTGCTTCGGGAAAGCCTGCTCAAAACATTAATATTGTGTAGTTGCTGAAATATATTCATGGTATATTCATGGTATATTCATGGTATATTCATGGATATTCATATATTCATGGGATATCACACTGTGTTGATGCAAAAGATGCATTGACTTGATAAACAGGTTTGACTTGCTTTAACGTATTTCAATGTTTGCTTGATATGTTTAACATTGTAGTAAACTTCAATCACTGGATTGTCTGGTCATACAGCTGAGTACAGCATTAAACAACATACATTCACACAGTCCTTTGTATTGACAAAACATCCTGTATATTTCCAATGTGCAGTGTTTTTTGTTTCGTTTAGATACAGCAGATGTGTACAATGACCGTGGCTGATATGTCCTGATATAGCTCTTGTCACTCATCCCTCTATAAATCATTAATGCCACGCTCTACCAATCAACCTTTAACACAATGCCGGTGTATACATTATTTATACCACAGTGTAAGGCGAACCATTAACTTGTGCAAGTCACCATTAACCCAAGCTATCCGTTAAATCATTTATACAACACTATACCAGTCAATCATTTTGGAAAGTGTATTGCATTGTCTACTTGATCGGTTCCTATTGTGCAGCATTTATATGTATTAAACACAGGCAAACAATAAACCGTATGTGTTATATAGATGTTTACAGAGTGTGTTGTGTCAATCAGCCATGTTGTGTTTGAAAGGTGTTAAATGAACTGGTAAAGTATTAACATGCTGATATTTTCTGCTTGGTAAGAGCTTTTGAATTTTGAGTATCTTCACAACAACTCAATCTGAAATGAAAGCTTGCAGTCAGATATACATTTAACATCTGTGCTTACAATCAGGATTCATTGTAATTGGACAGTAAATCCAATTTATCTACACCAGCAAAAATATCATTTTTTCTTGTGTGTAAAACATTGGATGTAGTGATTCAGTTTCCATTTAATTTAACAGCTGTGCTATTTATTGAGATAATGTTAACATTTGTGTACTGGTCTCAACAGGCCATGGGTTGATTTACCTGAATCACCCAAGGGACCACATACCTAATATATACTGCAGGTATATCTAGTGCATGCTTTAATCTGATTGGTTAGAATACCATAGTTAAGCATTCAAAATAGTTGACAGAAAAAGACTATTACCTCAATATGTATATTATTAGAAACATATAGAGAATATATGGAGAAAGGTTTCTTACATCATTAGTTAAGAAACAAAACTGTAGTTGGTATGTTGCCAAAGTAATGTCAACAGTTCAAATTAGCAGGCAACATGAAATTTGGTATCAGCCAATCAGAATCCCACATTCGTATGTTAGGTAAGATATTATGTTATCATCTGGTGTTATATATTTATATATATCCATGCTTGCCAACTCATATTTCATTTGATTTTGATTAATTAACCCTCAAGTAACCCACTACTTGACACTTTCACAGTATATGAAGGATTAGGGCTCTTAAAGGGCAAGTGTACACGAAAATAAACCTTTTTGTCTTGCACTTTTTCATCATGAAAAATGTTTGTCAAGTAGTTTTATATCCAAACCCGTACATATATAAGAAGTAACTAATTTATTTTTTGTGTTATATCAATTCATATTTTCAACATTTACCCAGAGTTCTGTGTCCACAATAAACACACCATGGCTTATGTCCCTTGGAAATGACGTCATTGGTGCCCAAATGATAAATGAATGACGTCGTTAGACGTTATTAGACCCATTTCACGTGATGCAGGTATAGGTGCAGTTCTTGTGTCTCGGTGTGCAGGATACTGTTTTAATCCACCTGTTGCCTGGCCGTCAGCTGGCTATGTCATCAGTTCTACACTGTAATGACGTTGCAGTTTGAAAAAACGTATACATTATACTAAATGTGTTACCATGTAACTAAATTGTATAACATTTAACCTGAGTCGGTCGCCTTTTCAACGGCATCTTTTTTCACAAAAACTAAAATGTGCACTACATCTAGCTTGCCATCTGCGAATGTGCAGGCATTCTACGTTTGTTACTAAAATTCTTACTTAAATTGTACAATATGTCCCTCCTCTTCCACCTTCACTTTGATAGCGATACCATATCCATGTACATCACGAAAATAAATGCAATTTGCAAATATACTGAAAATTACATGCATCGTAAATCTCGCCAGTTTTGACACATTACTACATCTCCATTCACTGCGTTTTGCGTGTCTTAATTCAAATGTCAAATGTTACTGGGAGAGTTGAATTTAAAAGAAAAAGACCTATCATTGTGATCAGCGGTTGTTTTGTTGTTGTATGATCAAATCACTAATGCTCGTTCTGAAACATTGTCGATGAACTGAGAATCGCTGAGAATGTTTTGGAAAATACGCTTGCAAACACAATTAATGTCAAAGTGAATTTTCAGCCAGTTTACAGAGTGTTTATAAAATCACGTCACATGTGTGTCGGCTATATTTCACCCATAAAATCAATTGTATATAGTTCAACACCATCTTCCTGACACGAATCCCTGAATTTCTGATACAGTTCAAAATAAACTGACAAATGGACTTTGTCACCAATTCGAAGTGTGTCAGTGAAATCGAACGAAATATATCTGATGCCGCGCAGGGAAAGGACCACTTGTTTGAAATGTAAACAAAGCCAATCTCAGATTTTACACTGTGTATGCGCTCGCCTACTTGTTGCATACACATGCTCATTAAAGTTGGAACATGCATGGGAAAGGTATCGTAGCTAGCGATAGTTAAATAAAATAGGTGTATTCGATTGATTTTCTAGATTCATCACAACATATCATGGTTTCTGAAAGCGTGACACCATGACTGGCGCAAACTCACGCACAACGATGACAGTACCTCTCTTAATTTCTGACTATTTCCCTTGGTCACAATGAAAACAAAAAGAAAATAACAACCAGCAGACTGACAGAATTTTCCGACTACCTACATGTCACATTTATGCATATACGTTGCTTGAAACAACGAAAATTTCTTCGACAACTCCGGCGTACTCGTGTCAGTGAACACGCCATTTTGAAAAAGTCGCTTCCCGATAGTGATGTCATACAGACTTCAACATCGTTATACATATTTGGTATTTTCATTGAGGTGAGGTTATGAATGAAAATACACGAGATCAATCTGTCCTGCTGCTTACATTTTCTGTTCTTATGCTTCTTTCGAATTTTCACAAACCTTTTTCACTTGATTAATTTCAGTATTATTATCTTTTGATTTGGGACTAGACAGTAGACCAGTTTAAAATCAAGTGGCACCAATTACGTCATAATCAAAGGGCGGTAATTCTGGCCTGTTTAGCTCAGCAAACAAAGGCTTCATATTGGCATAACATATCAGCACTTATTTTTAGGGTTATACTTACATTGTAAGAAAAATGAGTGTATATTTTCAAACATTGGTATTAACTTATTAAAACAGTTCACTTTGATTCACAGAAGAATAAACGTGATTTATTCGTCTACACTTCCCCTTTAACTTAATGTGATGTATGTGGAAGGCCTATAAACGGACGTGATTTCCAGGGATCTCATTCTCTTTCGTTTTCCCTGTATAACAGAATATGACAACTATGTCCTCCATTGCAAACAAATGATGATGTGCATCCTTAAAACAAACCTGATGAAGACAAGATTCAATATTACCTTTTGCATGTAAACATGTCACTTTATGTTTGTTGTGAAATTGTATTTATTTTGTCATTGACATTATGTTCACTGTGAATGAAATACGAATCTGCTGGGATATAAAGTCCACTTTTGTGAGTTTAGATCACAAGGTTAGACACACATGGTCTGGTATTTTCATGCCCGTAGAGTTATTAGAGAGTAAAACAACGCAGTTGAACTTGAAGACTATCTGCCCTGAGCGTCGATGCTCATGCTCTTGACCACTGGATTGTCTGGACCACACTCGATTATTTACAGACCGCCGCCATATAGCTGGAATATTGCTGAGTGCGGCGTAAAACTAAACTCACTCACTCACTCACTGCCCTGAGCGAGTTATGGCAATAATCCCGAGCCGGAAAGATAATCCGTAAATTTGATTTATTTTTAGAAATTTCATCCTTGTATAAGCCTTATTTGTCATGGGTAGTTTTACCTAGTGTTACTCTATGGCCCATCATTGTTGGTCCTATTAGGTAGCCACTCTTGCGCTATTCCAAATGCCTCATCACAGTCCAACACTGCTAATATTGCCATTGCATCTCTCAATATTACCATGATAAAACCAATATTTGCCTTAATTATTCCATAGATCACCTAATGTCATTGGTGATATTACTCTTTGAGAAAATGTTGAAAATTGCAGGCGCGTAGCAAGCCAATTTTTTGTGTAAGCCCGATAGGTTGCAAAGCTTTCTATTTAGATAATATTAAGGACATCCACAACCTTTGTAGCAGCAATCATGTGTAAGCCCAGACTTTCTTTATAATGGTAGCTAGGCCCCTGAATAGTATGCATAGTCCAGCCTACAAGTAGATGACGATAAGAATTATGAAAGCTGTATTATTGAGACGAGAGAAACTATTGACATTTCTTCATTGACTGGGACAAGAACTTTCTTTGTTATTCATTTAGAATATTTGACTTGAGGCTCATTTTGCATGTATGCTTATTGATATTTGGCGATGTTTAGCAAGCAAACAAACATTTTTTGTAAAGCATGACATAACACTAAAAAGGAAATGTCCGATATTGTTCCGAGTTTGACGGGGACAGGTTTAACCATGTTTTATATGCCCGTCTACTTGTTCAGAATATTTACTGTTAACACATTTCATACAAAATACTGTCCCAAATATTGACATAGTATTAACGTGTATAATCATGGACTTGATGTAAATGGCTTGAGCAAATTGCAAGGATTGCCAATGTGAACATCCTGTAAGGGCTTCATTTTGATGGGAACGATATTTTTGTTTCTTGTCTTTGCATGACTCAGCAATATTTCAGTTGAAAAGTATAATACATTATGGATGACAACTTCTTTATTTCTTATGATGCGACGTTTCGGTATAGCTTCCTGCTTGACAACGGTATAGCTTCTTGCTTGACAACGGTATAAGAAGCTATACCGAAACGTCATCATAAGAAATAAAGAAGTTGTCATTGGCATTTCGACGTTTCGGTATAGCTTCTTGCTTGACAATGGGTATAGAAGCTATACCGAAAGCGTCGCATCATAAGAAATAAAGAAGTTGTCATTGGCATTTCGACGTTTGGTATAGCTTCTTGCTTGACAATGGTATAGAAGCTATACCCGACGCGTCATCATAAGAAATAAAGAAGTTGTCATTGGCATTTCGACGTTTCGGTATAGCTTCTTGCTTGACAATGGTATAAGAAGCTATACCGAAACGTCGCATCATAAGAAATAAAGAAGTTGTCATTGGCATTTCGACGTTTCGGTATAGCTTCTTGCTTGACAATGGTATAAGAAGCTATACCGAAACGTCGCATCATAAGAAATAAAGAAGTTGTCATCCATAAAGTATTATACTTTTCTATTATCCATCAACTTCTAAAATGCCAATCAAACAAATATTTCAGTTGTATGACAACAGTCTATAAAAGTTTGTGTCTGGACCATATAGGGATATTTTCAATGGTATGCATCGCCATGACTTCAGGTAAAACTGACAGTCTACCAAACCATAATTGGCATCAGCCAGGTTAAAAAAATGTGTTAAATCCAAATCACTCACTTATCATTATAGGGATTGCCGAATAGCCTGGCAGTCATGTGATGTGTGAAGTATTTAACAAATTGCAGGAAATGAGAGTCAAACCCTGAAAATCTTCAGATTCGTAATTTCGAAATTATTTGTCCAACTGATGGCATTTAAGAAAAAGACATGAATACCATGGACTTCTGACCTTGTGAAGATCTGAAGTCTGACAGTTCAGTTTCGAGATCCTTAAAAAAGTAAGAGAATTTTTATTGTCTCTGACAATGAGAACCTTTTTCTACATTATGGCATTATAAGAAAATACATGTCTGTACTTAGTTGGATGGACCTCCTAGTTGCTATTCTTGTTCGTGTTTGTCACAAACAAATGTTTACTGAAAGCTCAAAAGAGATCCATTTTGTAAGCCTGCTCTATCTAGGCCAGATTATACTGGGTGATCTGTTAAATGCAATAGAAGATTTATGCCAAGAACATATCTACTTCTTATCTTAGGCGTGACAAATCTCCAGTTAGGTAAATCTGAATGTTTTTCAATTTGTCATGAACTGAAACAAGCTTCCTGTTTTTGAGGAACTTTATATGTGGAAATAAAGTTTGAAACTGTTATTTTGTGTTAAATGTGGGGGAAATATTTTTCCAAGTGCCCTCACCACCCTTGTGTGCAGTGAGAAATCTTAATACGCACAATAAGATTGTTGTTTGTGTGTGCGTGTGTGTGCGTGCGTGCGCGTGCCTGTGCTCCCTCCCCTGTACCCGTTCTCCCCTGTGTATAATTTTAACCCTTTATGCACTGTGAAATCCAACGAATCTAAGCCTAACAGTATTGAGTAATCAAAGCACACTACACGAAGATGAAACGGCCCGACTAGCAGACTGATAAACACGCTGAGTGAGTTCAACCTGTGTCTTACATCAACAACCGACAGCCGGCGATTGATGCACAAAATCCACTTTATTGATGTGTGCTATTGACAGGGGTCACATGGTAGTAGATGTGGGGTTCAACTTAATTACTGTGTCTATCACTAATTACTATGCCACCGGCAGATGTTGAAGCTATTTCACAAGACATGGCTAGAAGGCTATCTTGCCCAAGGCAGGGTCATCACTACATGCTCCCAGTCCTTGGTTCCATGATTGATATGCTGGACAGAATAGACACTGAACGAAAAATTGTTATTGTTAACAATTATTTTGAGGGATGTTTTTATTGAAATGTGTGTTCAGTCTTTACAACGAAAAATATCCCCCAATTTTCACGATCCCTGACATTTTTGGTTCTGTATGTATTGATACAAGGCCTTTATACAATAATAAGATTATTGGATGGCCTTTTCACAGTCAGTATTCAGACTATTGGAAGGCCTTTGTACAATGTTCAGGTATTGGAAAGCCTTTACACAGTCAGTATTCAGACTATTGGAAGGCCTTTGTACAATATTCAGGTATTGGAAGGCCTTTGTACAATATTCAGGTATTGGAAGGCCTTTGTACAATATTCAGACTATTGGAAGGCCTTTGTACAATATTCAGACTATTTGAAGGCCTTTGTACAATATTCAGACTATTAGAAGGCCTTTGTACAATATTCAGGTATTTGAGGGCCTTTGTACAATATTCAGACTATTAGAAGGCCTTTGTACAATATTCAGGTATTTGAGGGCCTTTGTACAATATTCAGACTATTGTAAGGCCTTTGTACAATATTCAGACTATTAGAAGGCCTTTGTACAATATTCAGGTATTTGAAGGCCTTTGTACAATATTCAGATTCAGACTGACCTTTTACAATATTCAGGTATTTGAAGGCCTGTATATTCAGACTATTTAAGACCTTTGTACAATATTCAGACTATTATTGAAGGCCTTTGTACAATATTCAGGTATTTGAAGGCCTTTGTACAATATTCAGACTATTGTAAGGCCTTTGTACAATATTCAGGTATTTGAAGGAGGCCTTTGTACGGCCAATATTCAGACTTTGAAGGCCTTTGTACAATATTCAGACTATTAGAAGGCCTTTGTACAATATTCAGACTATTTGAGAAGGCCTTTGTATTGCAATAAGGCTATTAGGAAGGCTTTGTACAATATTCAGACTATTAGAAGGCCTTTGTACAATATTCAGGTATTTGAAGGCCTTTGTACAATATTCAGACTATTGTAAGGCCTTTGTACAATATTCAGACTATTCAGGTATTTGATTGAAGGCCTTTGTACAATATTCAGACTATTGTGAAGGCCTTTACAATATTCAATATTCTTTGTAGACTATTTGAAGGCCTTTGTACAATATTCAGGCCTTTGTACAATATTCAGACTATTTGAAGGCCTTTGTACAATATTCAGTACAATATTCAGGGTATTGTAAAGGCCTTTGTACAATATTCAGACTATTTGAAGGCCTTTGTACAATATTCAGGTATTTGAAGGCCTTTGTACAATATTCAGACTATTTGTCAAGGCCTTTGTACAATATTCAGACTATTTGAAGGCCTTTGTACAATATTGTGAAGGCCAATATTCAGGTATTTGAAGGCCTTTGTACAATATTCAGGTATTTGAAGGCCTTTGTACAATATTCAGACTATTTGAAGGCCTTTGTACAATATTCAGGTATTTGAAGGCCTTTGTACAATATTCAGACTATTGTAAGGCCTTTGTACAATATTCAGACTATTTGAAGGCCTTTGTACAATATTCAGGTATTTGAAGGCCTTTGTACAATATTCAGGTATTTGATGGCCTTTGTACAATATTCAGGTATTTGAAGGCCTTTGTACAATATTCAGACTGTTTTAGGGTTTCATTATGTATGTGAGTGACAAGATTCTTCTGACTTTCTTTAAATATACTGAACCATTGTTGATAGGGACATGGTTTATATTTCTATGATATCAAAAACTAAAGTATATCGTCTGTGTTCTCATGTATCTCATTACATGTATATCTGTATATAACGTCATTGTGCTATGATGAGGAACCATAAAGTGGAACACTTTTTATGGATAGACAACTTCTTGGGGTAGCCTAGTGGTTAAAGTGTTTGCTCGTCACGCTGAAGACCCGGGTTCGATTCCCCACATGGGTACAATGTGTGAAGCCCATTTCTGGTGTCCCCCGCCGTGATATTGCTGGAATATTGCTAAAAGCAGCGTGAAATCATACTCACTCACTCACTCACTTCTTTATTGCAATAGATGCGACGTTTCGGTGTAGCTCCTAACAACGTTGCCAAACAAATGATACACAACATGATGCACAAGAAGAATATATACTTTAGGGGGATTTCAGTTTCCCCAGTTGAAGAGGTTGATGACAATACGGAAGCTTGTGGTGATTACACTTAATGATTGAAACCAGATGTCAGCATATGAGACCTGTTTGATTATATGAATATTTCACTGTCAATAATGTTTGTTTTTATGAAATCGCGAAAAATTAGTTGCGGTTTGAAAATATGGTCCTTCCTCCTTTATTCTGATATCATATGGCGGTAATATGTATTTGACATCTAGTTTGTCGTGAGGGTCACCTGGTGAGTCACCTTTATTAAGCTAAACTCTTTGCCTGCATTGGCCATGATGTTAATATGTTTTGTGTGTTCATAATCATGATATTTTTTCTTCAGGTCGCTCAACTTAGAAAAGGAAAATAAAGAGAAAGATAAGGAGAAAGAAAAGGCGGGAGGCTACGCCAATCCTGCAAATGTCGTGGAGACAGAAAGTCGTAAGTGAACCTCACATCTCCCCTTTCAACCCTCCCTGTAATAACACTGGTTGCCATGGAAACTCAGGTAGTACAGCCTTCAAAGCAATTATTTTAGAGGGAGATCTTGTTTGTTCTGGGTTTTGAATCTTGTTAGTGGGTTGGGCGAAATTGATGATTCTAACATGTGCTCTGTTGTTACAGAAATGAAATACAAAGTTTATTGATTTGTTTTCGATATATTTGTGAAGGAGTGATTTATGTCACTTGTCATGGTTGTTGGACGAAAGTACTTTTCAACTTGTTTATTGTGAACATATGCTCACCTTCATTATCTAGGGGTCAAACAGATAGGAGATATGGTATTTAGTAATGTCAATAATGTTCCAGAGTGCAGTTGAATCTGTAATAAACCATTTTGATCTGATATTAACTGCTACTTGTCCTGAATTACTTGTGCGTGGGCAGATTTTGTGGCATTTAGGCAGTTGGTTTAGATAGCAGCACCTGCATTTTTCTTATTATATTAGTTTCAGTAGTTTTTGTATTTTTGCATTTTCATAAAGCATCCCATGAGCATTAGGGACCGTTCCTAATTTATACCTAGGGAGGTGATGATGATTTTCATGCAGAAGCATGTACAATGTGAATGACCCCCATCACCCCACCCCAAATTTATGTACAATGTATGTGACCCAGTCCTGCATGTCATGTACAAAATCAATGATCCCCCTTCCCTTTCCATAATTTTTAAGCACAAATATTTTAAATATTTCTATATACAAAATTGCTGACCCCCCAAGTACATGTGTACAAAATTGCTGACCCCCCTACCTCCCCTGAATGAAATGGGTGAATCACACCCCCACACACCCCGTAAAATCATCATCACCCCCCTAGCCATAAATTATGAACTGTCCCTTGCAGGTATAAACAACATGTACAGCTCGAAGCGGCGTAAAACCAAACTCACTCACTGTTCTTTGCTGACCTTGTTTAACCATATTTACTCAATCAAACACTACATGAGACTTGTATCTTTCTGAACAGAGATGCAGACGATCGACACATGTCAAGCCATGTTCCTGCCTCTGGGAGCGTCTGCTTCACTGCTCATCATGTTCCTGTTCTTTGACTCTCTCCAGATGGTGTTCGCCATCTTTACTGCCAGTAAGTAGTTGCTATTTAGTGTTTCCCAAAGATCCTAAAGGGCTGGGTGTAGTGTGCGAAATAGTTTCCAAATTTTGCTAGCCAGTCGGGCTAGCTATGCCTGAAAGTTACTAGCCCACAAAATAATTCACTAGCCTAAAATATTAATGTAGAAGCTAAGCAAAAAATTACAAAATCCGTAAATCACCATCATTTATCAGGCCATAATTTTGCATGATTTAAAAGTGTATAATGACTAAACAAGTCGGAGAGAGTGATATGTTTAAATAATGACCCCATAAAATTCACTAGCCAGTCAGGCTAGTGACTGGAAATTTACTGACCCGATTGAATTTTTACTAGCCTAGGGCTAGCGGGCAAGTGGCTATTTTGCACACTGGCTGGGTGACAGAATTTCAAAATTGGCGGACTTATTCCAACAAGGACGTGCAATGACATATGTCCAAGTATTAAGTCAAGTTATTCATGCATATGATTCTTAAAGACTCAAAGAACACAGTTATTTCACTTAACTTAAACGTGAAATAGAAACTAAAAACCACCAAGTGTTAATATCAATTATAGCCTTAAAAGAAGGGCAGGCCGCCAAGGAAAAAGGACAGGGCACTGCGCCCTGTTAGAAATGCCTAGGGGAACCACTAGTGTTCTTTGACTCTCTACAGATGGTGTTTGTCAATAACATGTACATCATAAGGTATTTTGGGTTAACATTTTCATAGTCACGGCTAAGATGTCCTGTTATATTACGAGAATGCGGCTAATAAGGTCACAGATGCTGCTGCAGCTGTGGCTTGGCTATTTCTGAATGATTGGCGACAAAAATTGACCCATAGTTTCCATGTACTAACCTCATTTATGACTGGTGCAGTGGAGTAGCCTAGTGGTTAAAGTGTTTGTTCATCACGCCGAAGACCCGGGTTCGAATCCCCACATGGGTACAATGTGTGAAGCCCATTTCTGGTGTCCCCTGCCATGATATTGCTGGAATATTGCTAAAAGTGGTGTAAAACCATACTCACTCACTCACTCACTCAAAGCATTCGTCATGCTGAAGCCCATTTGTAGTTTCCCCTGACATTGTTAAAAGCAGCGTAAAACCATGGTAACTCACACTTACTTGTTCTTTCAAAGAACACAGATCAACAATTATTGAAGTTGATGGACAGGATTCCTAATGAATAGTTTGTCTTGTACTGTGACCTGTAATCAACATTGGGCTGTCTGCCACACTAAGCTAGGGGAGTGGGTCAGGTGTTTGGTCCACCTAATATGACCTGTGTTTGTTGCAGTCCTTGCCACGGTAGCCTTCGCCTTCCTGCTGCTGCCGATGTGTCAGTATATCATCCAGCCCTGCTCCAGTGGTCAGAAGTAAGTTCAGGAACTCCGACAATAGATGGAATATTGCTGGCTCCATTGTCTCATATTTATATCCTGGTCGCCATGTATTACGATATTTATATCCTGGACACATGACCATTAATGTTAAGTTTCAGAATTGATGCAAGTCAGCATACTTCTTGTGATCATGCCTTCAGGATAAAATAATAGCATGTATATTTATTACCCCTTTAAGCAATATTATGGCTTAAATCACCGAATATATAGAAATGATCTTGTAAAATCTAAATGACAAACATTCTCTCAATAGTTTTGTTATCGTTACATTTCCATGATATTTAAATAGCTTTCAAACATGCATATGTCTTAAAGAGGCTAATGGTGGAATAGTACTGGATTCATGATAGATTAAGTGTGATTTGTCTGCTTTCAGAATTTCCTTCGGGTGTTGTGGTCGGTTCACGGCAGCAGAGATCGTATCGTTCTGTATGTCCTTCTTCATCGTGTGTGTCTGGATCCTCACTGGGCATTGGCTACTCATGGATGGTCAGTACTCCAGCTGGTGTAACTCCTACGCTAACACAATCATGGTTTTATCTAAAGACCATTATAAGTTGTTCACTGGTCTCGAGGGGGACATAGGCTGATGTACCCTCGATGTTTTTGTTCCCTGAGCCTGAATTGATTCCCTTCCATCAATTTGCATTCGCAAACATTGGTAATTTCCGTACATCACACGTGATTCAATGTTATTTGAGATAAAGAATTACTACTATGAAGTACCAAATGAGTTCGGCATTCCCAGCGGGGTACATAGGAAATGTTACTCGCTTGTAAGTGGGGTACATAAATAATAGAAGAGTGCTCAGCCAATCAGAAAACGACATTTATGTGTGAGGCAAGATTATTTTATTTGTTGAAACAATACGAGTTAGGGAGATAGCATTTTTGCATTTTGAGTGCACCTTCAATTTTAAAAAATATTTCCATTTGTATTAAAGGTGGTGGGGTAGCCTAGTGGTTAAAGCGTTCCCTCATCATGCTGAAGACACGGGTTCGATTCCCCACATGGGTACAATGTGTGAAGCCCATTTCTGGTGTCCCATGCTATGATATTGCTGGAATATTGTGAAAAATGGTGTAAAATCATACTCACTCACTCATTTGTATTAAGATGTTCAGATGTTTCTGAGTCCTTTTATGGTCTGAATTGATGTAATCAAAATACACAACAGTAAAGGGAATGAACTCTGTTAGTAAATGATTGGGTGGTTGGTGGGGTAGGCATTCACTCATCTCACTGAAGGCCTGGGTTCAATTCCCCAATTTGGTACAATTTGTGAAGCCCATTTCCATTGTCTCCCTCTGTGATATTAATGGAATATTGCTAAAAGCAGTGTAAAACCCAACTCCCTTACACTCTATTATATAGACCGCCTCCGTGGTGTAGTTGTTAAAGCGTCCGCCTGGAGAACGGAAGGTCGCGGGTTCGATCCCGACTGCATCATACCAAAAGCGTAAAATATGGTACTTGTTGGTCCCTGCCTGGCTCGGCATTAATGGGTACAACAAGGACTGGTCGGCTCGGAGTCAGTATAATAATGTCTGAGAAGGGTATTCATGCTTCACTGTGGCATGGTATCTCAGTGGGCTAGCAGTATAAAACCAGCTTCAGTCTGGGCTAGTACAAGCAACCGCGACATACACACACACACGCATGCACGTCGTCATATGAGTGAAATATTCTCAAGCACGACGTAAAACCCAATTTCACCTCACCTCATCTATTATATAAGTTATAATACCTGCACAGCAATAGGACCTGTTGTAAATGTATGATATGTTTCCCACGTTTCAGCACTGGGTATGGGTCTGTGCGTGGCTTTCATCGAGCTGGTGCGGCTACCAAGTCTCAAGGTGTCCACGCTGCTGCTCGTTGGGCTTCTAGTTTATGATGTATTCTGGGTAGGTAGAAACACTGAAATATTTGGGATCCTAGGTGGCCATCTGCCTTAAGTAAGCAACGATGTCCTCCTGCCTACATCAAAGTGTCTGTCTACCCTTACAATTTCAAGCCTAATTTTCTTGGCTCAATCGTGTCACTACGTGGTTATAACATGACAATTCCGAGAGATGTTTCACAATGGTTATTAATGGTTTCACAAAGATATTTCCATAGCAGATGACCAGGTAAGGAGATGTAGCAGAATTATGGTTCAGTGGTGTTTGAAGAACCAAAAAACAGATCATGACTATGAGGTGCTAACAATTTGTACCACAGTTCAATTTCCAAGTAAATGATCATGAAGTCTTCTCTAGAATATGATTGTGAAGTATTCCCCAGTGCTGACGATGTGCCTGTTTCCTGTTTCAGGTATTCTTCTCTTCCTATATATTTAGTGCCAATGTTATGGTCAAAGTGGCAACCAGACCTGCTGAAAACCCAGTAAGTATGCCGAGACATTTCCACAAAATGGGGGCGGTGGGGTAGCCTAATGGTTAAAGCGTTCGCTCACCACACCGATGACCCGGGTTCGATTCCCTACATGGGTACAACGTGTGAAGCCCATTTCTGGTGCACCCTGTTGTGATATTGCTGGAATATTGCTAAAAGCGGGGGTAAAACTAAACTCACTCACTCACTCCTCAAAATGGCCCTTGTGGGGATTCTGTCGTAGTAGCAGTCGTAGTTGTAGTAATATTAGTAGATATATTATTTGTAGTAATAATGGCAGTAAAGTAGGGATTCTGAATGGGCAAAAAATATATTGGTATGTTGCAGCTACCTGTTGGTTGTATGAGGAGGCTATAAAAAAGAGACGTCAGATGTTGACATTTCAGATCTCATTAATCTTGAGTGCATTAGCAAGGGCTCACCATGTGAGGTTTCTGTTTTAGATGTTCACATGTTCCCATGCAACCTGATCCTGTCTTTAAAGAGGACTGATAGGATCGTGTGGTCAGGCTGCATCACTTGGTCGATTGTATGTACCTGGGACCCGTTCGACAAGGCATTATAACACTAAAACTGTTGTCTGACTATACCAAAGTTATGGTCACCTTAACGCTGATCGCTTTGTCGAACGGATCTCTGGGTATCTGTAGAAAAAAACACAAGCATCATGCTCAGAGTTCTGCAGTCCTTGAACGTTGACATTTCCTGCCAGTTCGACACAAACCTTGCCACCATATTGATCATAAGACATAATTAATGTATTTATTACCCATATGGTGAAACATAACCAGTGCCAAGCAACCATTGTTTTCCTATTTTGACCTTATTAAACAATTGAACATGACGTCAATGAAGAGGGTCGTCACACTTGCTTACTGTGTTTTACTGCACAAATGTAAATGAATATAATGGACAATAACGAAATTATTACACTCGAGCAAGAGTGTCATATGACTTCTATGAAACTCATATAAAATTATGTACTCTTGCTCGGGCAATTCAAATTTTCACACTCGTTTCGTGTAAGTCGTATGACACACTTGCTCATGTAATAATCTCTATGTACGTAGTAAATGTTCTAGAGGTCACTGGTAGAGATCTTGTGTAGGTTCAGCACATCGTAGGTGTTTTGGCTACATGTTTTAACTGTTATGAACCTAGTTCTTCAACTGTGATTCTGTTTTCAGGTGGGCCTATTTGCCAAGAAGCTTCACTTAACGGGTCTAGTTCGAGATGCTCCTAAATTGTCATTGCCTGCCAAATTAGTGTTTCCAAGGTAACACCACTGATTGATCACTGGATCTATTTTTCATAATAATATACTACTCAAAAGAAGATGAGAACAATCAGTATGACATCAGATGACCGAAGTCACGTGGAAATCTCAGGAATTCCTAAACGTCTTTTGAGTATAGTGCATTTGGCTCAAAAGCAGACCGATGAATTGCAAAACGTCAGACCAACTCTGAGTTTTTTTGCAGAATTTATGTCCTAAAATTAAAAAAGTTGTTTATCAAACTATCATTAAAATATTGACACAGTTCACTATTTGTTACGAGGGAGGACTACAGAGAAGGGGACAGCCAGGTGTTAGAGAAGCACGTGCACAAGTACCGACAAAGTTATTGATTCATTAACCTGTGCTGTGCCGTCTCCATCCGTTCTCGAACACCTGGCTGTCCACAGAGTTGGTCTGACGTTTTGATTATGATCAGTGTTTCATTGAGTATTTTCTGTTTATTAGTTTTCGAGTTAGATTGCAATTCATCAGTCCGCTTTTGAGCCAAACGGAGTATAGTATATGTACATGTCTCAAACTTAATGCAGACGGTGTTTCCATAGCACTGGATGTACCCCAATACACTTTCTGCCATGTATTAGACTTCCCCGAAATTTCAACTGTTCAGTTTTCAAATTTTCAAATTGGAAACTTTGTCAAATTATTTTTTTTTCAAGACAGTCTGGAATGGAAGTTGTTAGTTTGAAACTAGTTCCATAAAGTTGAGAAAGCTGTGTTTTGATTGGCTAATGACAAGTTCTGTGAGCAATTTCGTTGGTCTGTCAAAGTTCAGGTGTGACCTGTAATTGCATGTACTCAGATCTTTGTTTAGCTGCAGCAAGCCACAGAAACAATTAAACATCGAGTTGTTGAACTTTGTAATTTAATGACAACATAAATCACCAGATGGATATGACCAATCACGTGTATTCCTGAACATATCAAACATGTTTGTATTTATCATGTAGTTAGATGTGTTATAACAAGCATTTACTATCAACAGTAAAGACATGTCATAAATCAAAGTTGTTGTTTACATATTGATGTTTTTCTTTTCAGCACACAAAATTCTAGTCATTTTTCAATGCTTGGCCTCGGAGACATCGTAAGTATTGTGTGAAAGTATGTACGAATCTGATCTATTATCTGATAAGTACGCTGGCGTAAATAATCAGTAAACCAGACAGTTTACCCCTTCTCACCCCTTCTTAACAGAGGGGCCGTGGAGTAGCCTGATGGCTGAAGCGTCTGCTCATCACGCTGAAGTCCCAAGTTAGATTCCCCACATGGGTACAATGTATGAAGCCCATTTCTGGTGTTCCCCGCTGTGATATTGCTGGAATATTGCTAAATGTGGCATAAAATCATACTCACTCACTCACTTAACAGAAATTTGTCAGATGTTGCAACATGGTCTATTGTTGCAGGTGATGCCTGGCTTGCTGCTGTGTTTTGTCCTTCGCTACGATGCATACAAGAAGTCCCAGACCAGTTCGGCAGAGGCAGGCGTGCCACCCCCTCCTACTTACGTGCAGAAGATCACCTACTTTCACTGCTCCCTTTTAGGTTACTTTTTAGGTGAGTTATCACCCAACAACTGCCATAGTTTAACACCTTTGATATTCGTCCCTACCTTGTTACTAAACCCCATCATATATATAGATAGAAACATTTATAGAGCACTAGAATCCAGCAGAAGCTGCTCAAAAGCGCATCAGTTCCAGGAAAACACTTCAAGCAACAGTTACAGATTGAATGCTTCTCTGTATAAGTGGATAGCTGTTGTTCTGATCTTAGGCAAAGAGGTAATCTGTTCCAGAGAACTGGACCTGCTTTACCAAAAGATCTATCTTCAAACATCTTTGTCCTAGTCCGTGGCACAGCAAATAGATTCTGTTCAGCTGATCTTAACTGACGGACTGGTTGATAGGTTTCTGTCATGCTGGACAGATATGATGGAGCAAGACCCTTCAGACATTTGAATACATGAACAAGGATCTTGCATTGGATTCTGTGGTGGACAGGAAGCCAATGAAGGTCTTGAAGCTCTGGGCATGACCCTCAATACCCTTCCCTTATAAATCAGCCCACCTTTACCCCATATATGTATCCCCATCCCTACCTCTATATCAAGGGGTGTGGACACGTGAAGATCTGGGTTCAATTCTCCACATGTGCACAATGTGTGAAGCCCATTTCTTGTGTTCCCAGCCGTGATTTTGCTAGAATGTTGCTAAAAGCGGCGTAAAACCTCACTCACTCACTCACTCGCTCCACTTCATGTGAGTTTTGAGCCCAGATCAAGATCCTTTGTCTATCAATACCACAGGGGTGCTAATGGCAGAAGAAATCTATCGTACATTTTCGTTGTCACAACATGGCTGTTATACTGTTCAAAGCAGTGATAAGGTCAAACACTGTATTATGCAAACAGTGGAAGGATAGCCTACTTGTCTTAGTGCAGTGCTTCACGCTACAGAGTTGCCTCCCTTTGCCAGCATCCAGCAATTATGGGTTCAAATCCAAGATTGCCCAAATTATGGTTCATGTGTTTGTGAGAAATCATGCTTCACTAAGTGGAATATCTATGATTGGTGTAGCTGTAACTGTTTGGGGAGAATAGTTCAACAGTTATTTTGTTTGTATTATATGTTGTGTTTGTCTACATTCAGGACTGTTGACAGCCACCGTGTCCTCGGAGTTATTTAAGGCTGCCCAGCCAGCTCTGTTGTACCTGGTGCCGTTCACGCTGCTTCCACTACTGTGTATGGCATACTTGAAGGTAAATACTGTGCAGATACGCTGTAGCAGTGAAAATCCGGGTTAAAATTGGTGTTCAGCAACCCAAGCTTTTCATGTGAGGCGACTAATGTGATCGGGTATTTAGGCTTGCTGACTTGGTTAACGCGTTTCATCATATCCCAATTGCTTTGACTGATTGTAATGATTTTGATCACTGGATCGTCTGGTCCCGATGTCGGCATTAAACAACAAGCAAAAACATTGCTTGTTATACGTCAGACTCAGGTTCGATTCTCTTCTTGGGTGTAATGTGTAAAGCCTATTTCTTGTGTCCTCTGCCATAGTGTTGCAGAAATATTGCTAAAAGTGGCATGAAACTATACTGACCTGACAAATTTGGTTCAAGTAACACAAACATAGTAAGTTGTCTGTTAATTCAAGGTCATACTTGTGCACTTGGTGGTTATAGGCTCTTCACCTTGGCTGAAAAGGTTCCATAATCTGTTGAGACATGTAAAGAGAAAATTTTATATGTAATATTTCTGCCATTTCAGGGGGATCTAAGAAGGATGTGGCATGAACCGTTCATCGTGTCTGTGCAACCCAAAAACATTGAAGTATAGTGGGAACACAAGCTGATCATAATAAAACAATTCCTGAATGGCAGTCACCAACATATTGGAGGTGACTTTCTGAATGATACCTTTAAAACAAGGATTGTTGAAGACTGAAGAATGGTTAGACACCTTCATGTGATGAAACATTGGAGTGGCCAGAATTCAAATGGTAGAAATGCAAAAGGAGACGACTCAAAGAAAGGGGAGTAACTCTTGCATTGATGTGAAAATAACCACAGAAATACCTAAATGATCTGCGTTGTCATGCCAACTCATATTGTCTTTTAATGGAGACACATGTCATACTTCATCCTCTCATACCATCATGTGAAACAAGCATTTTACAAAGATAATATTTTAGAGAGAAGTTTTTTTTCACATGGAGATCATTCACAGTCCGAGTTCATGATTTCATATTTCACTGGGGGCATTTTGAAGAGAAATAAAAATCCATTCGAGAGTTGGATTTTAAGATTTTAAGGATGGCGGTACCAACCTACTGTGTGTGCATGACTTGACAGAGATCAGTGGTCAAGAATGAAGTCATTTCTTTGGACATCAAGTGAACTTTGTAATTGAAAGACTATGTGGTGGAAGGAGCCTGATGGAAACCATATTTGTGGTTGTCATACAGTGCTGAGGGACGGCCTGGAATAGATGGGGATTTTTTGTTTATTTATATTTATACAACTCCCATCCTGACTGTGAAAGAGCCCAGACTCTTAATGGAGTTGCTTCTTCCAATCGACATTCAGTGTTTTGTGTTGTGGCCAGTGGATAAGTTTATTTATTTGTGTACCTGACCCCCATACTTCAGAAGTGGAACAGTCCAATCTGTGTGAGATGGATGTTGAGGATTCCATTTTTGTTTCAGGGAGGTTGTCAGGTCTTTAAATCATGTAAAATGGCATGACCCTTGTCTTTGAATGATTCCATCAAAGTGTCAACGACAAGAGTCGCTGGACTTGTTAGCGAGATGTCTTCCTTAAAAGTGAAATGGTTTGTCTGTTTTCAAGGTATGGCTGGAAGATTCCATTCAGTTTTGAGGGAAGTCAGCATACATACAACAGAAGATTCCATTTCATTTACAGAGGTTATTTATGACAGTGGAATCTTCTCATCGGAATATGTGCAGGGAAGAGACCAATTATGAATGTTTTGCCCTGAAAGACTAAACAACAGAAATGTGTTGGAAGATTCCACTTAATGTAAGGTGGGACAGGCTTTCCAGTTGTGGTATTGTCTGAACTGGTAATAATTCAGTTGCATCTTGATGCTGTGACATCTGTTAAAGACTTCCAGAATGTGACAATTCATCAAGCAACGTGGGTGGACATTTCATTGTGTGTAGAACTACTCTGGATGGGGTCAACCTTACAGCCTGTATGTACTCGAGTTGGCCCACTGAGCAGGCCCTGAACATGGATTGGAGGGAGCACAGGTCACATGATTGTCATGTGATAATGTCGAGCAGTGGCAAGCAGTCCATTTTAATTACGATGAATTCTAAAAGTATTTGATCTTTATTATTTTCTTCTATTCCAATAAGTACATGAAAATGACATGGCTCCAGACACATTGAGAAAAACATTTAAGATTATAACAATGTAATTGATGCAAGTAAAATAATTAAGTTTATATCAAACTTTGATTAAAGGGAAAAGAACAGATTTGGGGAGGTAGCCTGAACAAAACATAACTGTTCCATTGATTCTCATCTACCAGAATGTTGCATGTTGTAGAGAATACGAGGGTAAGGATTTATCAGTTTGGTTTATGAATCTACTGCCAACCCAGTTTAAATCAGAAATGTATAGATGAACAGCTGGGTTTTGTTTGCTAACCAGAAATAAATAAAATGTAATTTTACATGAAATTTGGGCCAACGAATAATATGAAAAAAGAAACATGCATAGTGAAAACTCACTTTGGTGACACAATTTTGGATTCAGGCAAAGCATAACTAACGAGTAAGGTTACTGTGTAGTGAAAATACTGCATTTTTAGGTCCTTAAAAGTTAGCTTATCTACGGTTGTATACGGTATGTCGACCTTCAGATGCCATGATGCTTGTACGTGTGCTCCCTCCACAATACACCAGCATTCTTGATAAAGGATGGGTTCTTTTCTTAAGTGTGAACTAGTTGTGAATGTTGATGGTTTGTGGAAACTCTGGACTAACCGATTCTTCTCCCCTGTATCTCATACATCTCGCCTCGTGTCGAAATAACAAGCAACGTAAATTCATTCATCATTTATTATGAATTTATATCAGGTGCTGTAACACAACAGATATATCCTGAGTATTATAATGTAACCATGGTAACAAATTATACCAATAAACAAAGAAATAAAATCAAGCATAATTATTTTTACTCTAACAACACTAAGTTACGTAAGGGGCAGTGGGGTAGCCTAGTGATTAAAGCGTTCGCTCGCCACGCCAAAGACCCGGGTTTGATTCTCCCACATGGGTACAATGTGTGAAGCCCATTTCTGGTGTCCCCTGCCATGATATTGCTGGAATATTGCTACAAGCGGCATAAAACCCAACTCACTCGCTCACTCTCTAAGTTACGTAAATTGCACAGTTCACTTTCATAGTACTAAAACAATTTGTTAAAGGTTTAGAATGTTCGTAAGGAAGGAAAGTATTTCAGATGTGATAAGTCTCAAATACAATGGCAGATTCCATGGTTTAGTTGTACAGGGGAGGCGACTCTGTAAGTTCAGAGAAGCAGGTGAAGGACTTTGCTGTTTGTGTGGATGTATTCAGTAATTATATTAAAATTTCACGCTACTGCAACTCCAGGCAATTTGGCCATGTTTACTCCAAAGTAATTAATATATGGGTTGGTGGGACCTCATGTTAATTTTGTTACACTGCTTGTTTTGCAGACTGAGGGTGTTTTTGTCTCCCAAAGTACAGAAAATAAATGTTCTAAATAGAAGAGATTTTGATATAATTACCGTCATTACTACTTCAGTGTCTTTTCGTGAATGTCGATGGATCAGTGTTTTTACTTAATGTCATGGAAACAACATATTTTATAACAAATATACAAACTTCACAAGACTTTTAAAAACAAGTAAAAAACGTTCATGTGCTTTTTATGTTGAAACAAAAAATAAATGCATTTTGGTATGTGATATGTTTCATTGCTCAAGTGTAATGAAAGTAGAAAACTAGTGCTTTAGCAATGTTCACTGCTGAACATTGGGTTCATCATGAGAGGGGGAATGTCACTGCTGGCTTTTGATGGTCCAGAGAATAATTAAATATTTACGATTTCCAAATACATTTTCTTTCTGGAATGAGGAAGGTAATTTTAATGGTTTTCAGTCAGTCTTTTCTAAGCATTAAACAACAGTGTTAGGTTGAAAGAAATCTTTGGTTGTAAATGCCTTTTTTTAACTGAACTAAAGGCCATATAAAAGACATCAAGTACTCGTGTGATAGAAACACGACTTGAACGAGTCGAGTAATTACTGAAAAATTATGAACTAAAATTAGCTTGTTATAACAACAAACTAGACTCGCACTTGAAAAGTTTGAGAAACTGCAAATAATTTAAAAATCCTTGATGTTCATTTAACTGAAATGTTACTTTGATTGAAATGGTTACAGATTTTGGGGACTGATATCTAGAGTTAGCTCCCTTTGAGACCAGCCATATTTGATTCTTCATGTCAGCAGTGGTTGCTGAAGGAGGATGTGATACAACTTTTGCTGAAAGGCAGATCACCCAGATCACCCGAAGTTATAGGATTGTTTGGAGGTCACCCGGATTCAGCGCTAGTTATTATATCAGCAAAGAAATAAATCTACACAAACGTGATCGCAGAATGTTTTAGCCTGTTTATTATGTTTAGTCTCACTCTGGTTTTACGTCTGTAGATAAGTGTTATTGATGTATATATTTGTAACATTTATTGCATATGACACCCTCGTATATTTAAGATTATACTTTCTATATATTGTATGAATGAGAAAGATGGACGTTCTGCAAGAGGCCATGTTCAGGGGATTTTGCCATGTAGGCCACAGGAAAAATAAAATTAATGTTTTTCAATCAGTGTGTGAAGTGATTTCTTTTTCAATGATGGATTTTGGGTGGTAAATTTGTCTGCACAAATTCAAGTTTGGACCAGGCAAACCAGTTTTCGATATCAGAGGACAGGATGAGGAGACATCCACATCTTTCTCCAATCTGTAACTTCTCTTGACGGTGAGAACATTTGATTGGATGAATATGACCGCCTCATTCTGGACTCAAACCAAAGCCCTCACAGCAGATTGATCCAGGGCAATTATGAAAGGATGGCGATAGAATTCACTACCCCACTTTTAATTGGCATGTTTTCCATCTTTCCAAGATACAAAAGTGAATCTGATAGTGAAGTGTATATTAAATACATCTGACATCCCAATCAAAAGATTGGTAGTATACACTTGATTATCAAGGATAATAGAGAACAAAAGACGGGGAAACTGTCAGTACCAACAAGTTCCTTCAACCATTTTATTTGCCAACACAGTTTGGATGTAATAGGTGATCATTGCTCAAATACAATGTCTTCGATCTTGTGAATTCCAAAAATGAAAATGTCAGGACCTTCACCATCAAATTAAGTCCCCTTAATCCTTGTTAGAGAACAACTTCAACTACTGATCATTTCTTTTATAACTGTAACTTTCTGAAACAAGATTACACACATTACCTTGTATGAGTGAGTGAGTAGTATATAGGCCACTGGCCCATGTACATTACATAACAAACAATGAATACATACAGCGTGGTGGGTTGAAAGTTGTACAGATGAAAGGTATACTAGCGTAATAGTGAGGAACACAGATAAAGTTTCTTTGACACGTACTCAGCAATATTCCAACTATATGATGGCGGTCTGTAAATAATCGAGTCTGGACTAGACAATCCAGTGATCAACAGCATGAGCATTGATCTGCGCAATTGGGAACCGAAGACATGTCAACCAAGTCAGCGAGCCTGACCACCCGATGCCGTTAGTCGCCTCTTACGACAAGCATAGTCCCCTTTTGTGCTGAAGACACCTATACCTCTTACCTTGTATGAGGCCACACTGCGTAGTATTCCAGTATGACCTGTGACTAATGCAAGGAGCAGGATTACAGGGACCCGCACAGTCGTGGTACAGTGTCATATAGCAAGCAATAGGTTTGGATGAGTGAACAGTTTTAATGCCACGATTAGAAATACACATATTCCAGCCAAAAAACGATGGCTTCATGGGCTTCACATGTACACACACTTAACTCAGGTCTGGCAGGACAAACCATCTGAGGCAATATCACTATAACAGGCAAGGATCCGGCCCTGCTCACAAAGTCGCCTTAGCTCTACGATGATCATCTCATACTTCCAAGCTTAATAGGCTTTCAATAGTCTAAGAATGAAGATTGCCTGGAGGAATGGTCTGGTACCTGTAAACAATGCAATATGTAGTTTTACACAATAATTCGACAATGAACCAAGCCTAAGCCAGGCAATGGTCGCCAGCATGAGCTATGACGTTGAGGTATGCGGACACATTCTCAACCAGATATCGCCTTCACCCTAGTAAACACTGAGTAGTATACATCAAATGTCTTGTAGTGGGTTGTCTCAGCAACACCAACATGGCTGATAACTCAATAATTTAGTGTTGTGATCGTTAGTTATATTCTGAATGTTTTCCCCTGCCAAAAGCTCTGCCTTGCTTCATCTTGTCTGGCAGCTTGGATCAACCTTGATTTGTAGATGGAGGTGTAAATTTTAATGCGGTGTTCCACGCCTCATCTTCCCCTGCTGAACGGCCGCACATGTCGATGGGGTCTGCGTTGCCTCATCTTCCCCTGCTGAACGGCCGCCCATGTCGATGAGGTCTGCGATGCCTCATCTTCCCCTGCTGAACGGCCGCACATGTTGATGGGGTCGGCGTTGCCTCATCTTCCCCTGCTGAACGGCCGGACATGTCGATGAGGTCACACCTCATCTTCCCATGCTGAACGGCGGCACATGTCGATGGGGTCTGCGTTGCCTCATCTTCCCCTGTTGAACGGCCGCACATGTCGATGAGGTCTGCGTTGCCTCATCTTCTCTTGGAGTTTGGATCCAGGCTTGGCGTGTAGATGGAGGCGGACATCACAGCGGAACACATTCATGATTTCCTGCCTTGCCTGTGCTGTGATGAGCTTGATTGTCTCCCCTCCTCTTCCTACCAGGGTGCGCTGCACAGAACAGATCACTACAGCATCAATCTCAGTCAAGCAAGTATGGGAATGGTTTGGGCTTTTTGAAATTGTTTAAACTTAAGTCAGTCTCAAAAAACAATTAAGCTTGGCCTGACATTTGGCCATCAGTCTGCTGTCAACAAGCTGGCCTAAAGTTGCCGTCACAATGGTAAAATATTTTCAGCTTAAATACTGAGGTGAAATTGGGTTTTTCCGTCGTGCTTGAGAATATTTCGCTCATATGACGACGTGCATGCGTGTGTATGTGTATGTGAGGCTGCTTGTACTAGCCCAGACTGAAGCTGGTTTTATAGTGCTAGCCCACTAGCCCAGTGAATACCCCACTCAGACACATTATACTGACTCCGAGCTGACCAGTCCTTGTTGTACCCATTAATGCCGGGCGCCAGACAGGGACCAACAAGTGCCATATTTTAACGTCTTTTGGTATGACGCGGTCGGGGATCGAACCAGCGACCTTCTGCTCTCCGGGAGGACGCTCTAACCACTACACCATGGAGGCGGCACCAAGGACTTAATAACAACAAACTAATACTGTAATGATTTTAACAAAATATACTGTCAGAGTCATACACACAAAGTTGGCTTCCTCAGTTTAGCATGTTCAAAGATATTTAGGTAAATTCAGGAACATGGACAACACAATTTATAATATCGGTATAACCAAATGAGGCCAGAATAGTATTCAGCCACCTGTACTGCACATGTACTGAAATTCTTCCTGTACCAATTTTTCGTTTTGAATGACAAAAACCGGATCCACGTACCAGGTGATATGGCCGCTGACTCACGATGTCCATCACAATGTCCAGATTGTCATCCTGGTCCACATCCCACACCATGATCTCCTGTAGGAAGAACACACACTGAGTTAGGACACTACGTTCTTTATTTCAGAATTGTTGACGTTGTGTTCCATTCAAGTCAGTATCTGTGTGACTTACTTTGTAACACTGCAGTTAGCTCTCTTCCAATTAAGTCAAAGCAGCTCATTAATAATCAAATCTGGGTCAGGCAAATCTGTTACTGAAAACATGAGCGATGTTTCATTTTGAAACTTGGAATCAGCCATGTTACAAAGTCTGTCTCCCTGATCTCCATTTTAACCTTATAACAAGTTTCTGTTTCTGAGGATTTATTCTAACCAGAATTCCCCCATCAGGACAACAGAATCTGAAACTTTTTTTGAGTGGCATTGTTTAGAGTGAGTGAGTGAGTTTTGGTTTTACGCCACTTTTTTAGCAGTATTCCAGCAATATCACGACGGGGAACACCAGACATGGGCTTCACACTTTGTACCCATGTGGGGAATCGAACCCAGGTCTTCGGGGTGATGAGCGAACGCTTTAACCACAAGGCTAGGCATTGTTTAGAAGTTGGAGAGTAATATACAGACAAACTTTATGGATAAACAACTTCTTTATTCAGATGATGCGACGTTTTGATACAGATTCTTGTATCGTTGTCAAGAAAGACGTTTTGATACAGATTCTTGTATCGGTGTCAAGAAAGACGTTTCGATACAGATTCTTGTATCATTTGTAGACGCGTGTGTCAGAGAAGAAAAGCGTTTTGATACAGATTCTTGTATGGTTGTCAAGAAAAGAAAGACGGCCGATACAGATTTTTGATACAGATTCTTGTATACCGCGTTGTCAAGAAAGATTCTTGTATCATCGTTTCGATACAGATTCTTGTATCGCTGTCAAGAAAGAGCGTTTGATACAGATTCTTGTATCGTTGTAAATAGGCGAAAGACGTTCGATACAGATTCTTGTATCGTCCAAGAAATTGTCAAGAAAGAGCGTTTCGATACAGATTCTTGTATCGTTGTCAAGAAAAGGCGTTTCGATACAGATTCTTGTATCGTTGTCAAGAAAAGGCGTTTTGATACAGATTCTTGTATCGTTGTCAAGAAAAGGCGTTTCGATACAGATTCTTGTATCGCTGTCAAGAAAAGGCGTTTTCGATACAGATTCTTGTATCGTTGTCAAAGAAAGATTCTTGTCGATACAGATTCTTTTATCTTGTATATCGTTTGTCAAGAAAGGCGTTTGATACAGATTCTTGTATCGTTGTCAAGAAAGACGTTCGATACAGATTCTTGTATCGTTGTCAAGAAAGATGTTTAGGCTGATACAGATTCTTGTCGTCAAGAAAAGAGCGCTTCGATACAGATTCTTGTATCGTTCAAGAAAGAGCAGTTCGATACAGATTCTTGTATCGTGTTCGATACAGATTCTTGTATGGGTTCATCAAGAAAGAGCGTTTGATACAGATTCTTGTATCGTTGTCAAGAAAAGGCGTTTCGATACAGATTCTTGTATCGTTGTCAAGAAGACGTTTCGATACAGATTCTTGTATCGTTTATTGTCAAAAAAAGACGTTCGATACAGATTCTTGTATCGTTGTCAAGAAACGTTTGATACAGATTCTTGTCGTTGTCAAGAAAAGACGTTCGAAGAAAGACACGTTCGATACAGATTCTTGTATCATTGTCAAGAAAAGGCGTTTTCGATACAGATTCTTGTATCGATTCTTGTTGTCAAGAAAGACGCGTTTCGATACAGATTCTTGTATCGTTGTCAAGAAAGACGTTTTGATACAGATTCTTGTATCGGTGTCAAGAAAGACGTTTCGATACAGATTCTTGTATCGGTGTCAAGAAAGACGTTTCGATACAGATCCTTGTATCGGTGTCAAGAAACAATTTGATACAGATTCTTGTATCATTGTCAAGAAAGATGTTTCGATACAGATTCTTGTATCATTGTCAAGAAAGATGTTTCGATACAGATTCTTGTATCGTTGTCAAGAAAGATGTTTCGATACAGATTCTTGTATCATTGTCAAGAAAGATGTTTCGATACAGATTCTTGTATCATTGTCAAGAAAGACGTTTTGATACAAGAATCTGTATCGAAACATCGCATCATCCGACTAAAGATGTTTTCTATCCATAAAGTTTGCCTGTATAGGATCTGAAAACGTTGTGCCTGACCACCCGATCCCGTTAGTCACCTCGTACGACAAACATGGTTTGCTGAAGACCAATCCGTACCCGGATCTTCACAGGTCCATCTGGTTCGACTCTCATTGACCACTAGAACTGAGCAACGTTAACGGTAAACCGGTATATACCGGTACAGAAACTCGGTTCAGATTCTGCAATATATTGGGTTATACAGAGTTAGCTCCCTTTGAATTATCAGCCCTTGATTTCCCTCGCAACAAAATGGGCTCTAAAAGTTCCATTTATTTATTTTATTTCTGTCGGTTTCATGTAACATTTTACAAGTGGAAGTATCTTTATTAGTGGCCCCAAAAGAGCCAAATGTTCTACCAAAAAGTTTCATATGTGCCAAATGTTCAAATGAACCCTTTTATTTGGTTTTGTAGGCGTCTGGCTTGTGACCATTTTCAAATTCACATTATTTTGTTTTTGTTTCATAATGGGTGACATTTTCAAGGATAAATTTAGGACTGTGTAATGCCAGTCAAAAAGTCATAGGGAGGGTCGCCACGACCTCAAGTAGTTTATTTGGACTTATTAGTAAGACATGTTTATATTGGAGTTGAATCTGAATGAATCACTGACATACCGTAACAATAATTACATACTGCATTGACTGACTGACTGACTGACTGACTGAGTATGGTTTTACGCCGCTTTTAGCAATATTCCAGCAACATCATGGCAGGAGACACCAGAAATGGGCTTCACACATTGTACCCATGTGGGGACTCGAACCCGGGTCCTCGGCGTGACGAGCCATTGCTTTAACCACTAGGCTACCCCACCGCCCCCATACTGCATTGAAGTGTATTCTGTTGAAGCAAACAACACTGACCATGAAAATCATGTTATACTGTTACCTTTTCATTATGTTCGCTAAACGTTGTTGCAATACTTCATTTAAACATTCCACATTAAGGCTCTATATCATTTTATTTATCTGTAAACCAACTGCATACAGCCATACACAATAGAGCCTGAAAGTATGGTGTAGCATTAACTAAGATGATACTGGATCCTGCGGAATGGAAAAGTAATGATATGTCGCACACAGAGAGCTATTATGAATTTATTATGTATGTACTTGGGCAGAAACCTTCTAGTCAATATATATCTATATGTATTGCCATAGCTCTTAAGTTATTGCAACATATCACAATATCCAGCCCTATTGACCATTATCAACCACAATACAGGGAGAGTCTTTGAATTACTCCCTCAAGCTATTGAGATGATGCAAACTCATTAGAACAAGTTCAAACCAGATGGAACTTCTTTGGGAGGGAATTTACATACCAAGTAGAGCGGTACAGACCAGGAAAAACTGGTACAAGCAGCATGGAGGTTATTCATATTTAGTTAAAGCATAACAAACCAGATGGAACATATCGATATAACATAAATACCGAACAGAACTAGTAAATAACATGTAGAACTAGTATACACAAGGTGGTGGCTGCCCTCCGTGCTGGACTCCTCCGGACCGATAAAAGCGACTTCATCATGGAATGCATGTGCATTACACAGCCTTTTCGAGGGTTTCTTGATTGTGGGAGATAACCTGCTCAGACAACTTTGATCCCGAGTGTTAATGTCTGTGTGGCGATTTAGGACTTCGACACATCTACAAAGTGTACTCTCCTCCTTAAGGCATCAGAGACCGGGCCCCAGGGGTGCCAATCACACTATTTTTCTAACAGCTCTCTGTGTCCCGTATTCCCAGCCTCAGGAAACGCTGTATCACATCAGAAATCTCCAGCGAGCTTCCAGGTGTGATGCTCTCTTCATCGATAAACACAACCAACCGTCCAATAGCTCACCTTCCTCTTGTGGCTAAGCAGAACCTTTTGTCTCGGGCGGTTTCAACTCCGCCGAATTACTCTGGACACTCCTTCCGTATCCCGGTGCAGCTACTTCGGCAGCGCGCATGCGTGTCGAGGATCACTTGATTAAGACAACTTGGGTAAGCTGGCAATCAACTGTTTCCAGAGGTACATAAGGAACAAAATGGCGATCCTTGTACCAGTGATATATGTCCCGTAGCGCCATAAATATATTCAGAGAACAGAACTAGAAAATAACATGTAGAACTAGTATACACTACAGCTAACTGGTGTAAACAAACCCAAACTGGTACTAACCGGGTAGAGCTGGTAAGGTATTTCATTAGGAAGATTATCCAGCATCTTCTCCCAGACACAGGTCCTGGCGATGTGGAATGTGTCATCCTCGGTGACGATGCTGCTGTGGTAGTCCCAGTCTCCGGGAGCCGCACATGACATCAGGTAGTCCTGGACAAGCACACATGCAATAACTGTACATTGTTATAGATAGATAGCATTCATAACCATATTCAAGACCCGTGAAGATCCGGGGTAGAATAGGTCTTCAGCAACCCATGCTTGCCACAAAAGGCGACTATGCTTGTCGTAAGAGTTGACTAACGAGATCAGGTGGTCAGGCTCACTGACTTGGTTGACACATGTCATCAGTTTCCGATTGAGCAGATCGATGCTCATGCTGTTGATCACTGGGTTGTCTGGTCCAGACTCGATTATTTACAGATCGCCGCCATATAGCTGGAATATTGCTGAGTGCGGCGTAAAACGAAACTCACTCACTCACTCAAGAGTTCAGGCAGAGTAACAACAAGTACCACAATTTAACACACTTTGGTATCGGGTGGAACCACCGACCTTCCACACTGTGGGAAGATATTCTAACCACCAGACCATGCGCGTGGTCAGACATCAGCCTACTGACCCTCACACTACTGTTGCTGCCAGCTTCACCATTGCCCTACCTTGACCTCAAGAATGCCGTCTCCAGTCTGCGCAGACACCATAAACACACGGTCAAAGTGAGGCCAGCCTCGAGACTGATGAATCTTCTGTCGTATTGCCTTATTTGGTAATGCATCACTGTCCTTGACCTCCGACCCTAGTGGCAGGATGTGACGTTTCTCGAACTGTTCTGACCTTGTTTCTGCATCACTGTCCCCACTGTCCTTTCTCCTGTTGTCCACATTCTTCATCTCCCTGTCGGAGAAGTCACCCGTCTCAGACGCGTCGGCTCCACTTCCCTTGGTATTGTGTTCATACTGGTTGAACATCTCCTTCAAGTTGATTTCCTGCTTCTTGTGTTGTCTCATTGGTGTTGCTTTGATCGGGGTACCATTAACGATCCCCTCCGTCAAACATCGCGTACTCTGGAGGAGTGTTTCCTTCTCCTGTACATTATCAATCTGTGGAACACAAAACTCCAAATATAAAGCTTGGTGAAACTTTTCCTTAGCACTGATCAAGTGGAAAATACAATTTTAATGACTTTTTAAACAAACAATTCTTTCTATAAATACTGAAATGTAGTGGATATTGATTCTACATATATATCGAAAACATTCTGATAAATTGAAATATAACAAATTATTTAGCCCATTAGTCTGGTCCCTGTTGTTCTGGTCCCTGTCCCTGTTAGTCTGGACCATGTTACTCTGGTCCCTGTTACTCAGGTCCCTGTTACTCTGGTCCCTGTTATTCTGGTCCCTGCTACTCTGGTACCTGTTACTCTGTTACTCTGGTCCCTGGACACTGTTACTCTGGTCCATGTTACTCAGGTCCCCGTTACTCTGGTCCCTGTTACTCTGGTCCCTGGACCCTGTTACTCTGGTCCCTAGACCCTGTGAGTCTGGACCCTGTTACTCTGGACCCTGTTACTCTGGTCCCTGGACCCCGTCGCTCTGGTCCCTGTTACTCTAGTCCCTGTTACTCTGGTCCCTGTCACTCTGGACCTCGTCACTCTGGTCCCTGTTACTCTAGTCCCTGTTTCTCTGGTCCCTGTTACTCTGTACACTGTTACTCTGGTCCCTGTTACTCTAGTCCCTGGTACTCTGGCCCCTGTTACTCTGGTCCCTGGTCCCTGTCACTCTGGACCCCTGTCACTCTGGACCCCGTTACTCTGGTCCCTGTTACTCTCTACCCTGGACCCTGTTACTCTGGTCCCTGTCACTCTGGACCCTGTTACTCTGGTCCCTGTTACTCTAGTCCCTGTTTCTCTGGTCCCTGTTACTCTGTACACTGTTACTCTGGTCCCTGTTACTCTGGTCCCTGTTACTCTGGACCCTGTTACTCTGGTCCCTGTCACTCTGGACCCTGTCACTCTGGACCCCTGTCGCTCTGGTCCCTGTTACTCTGGACCCTGTTACTCTGGTCCCTGTTACTCTGGACCCTGTCACTCTGGACCCTGTCGCTCTGGTCCCTGGTCCCTGTCACTCTGGACCCTGTCACTCTGGACCCTGTCACTCTGGACCCTGTCGCTCTGGTCCCTGTTACTCTGGACCCCGTCACTCTGGACCCCGTCGCTCTGGTCCCTGTTACTCTGGTCCCTGTTACTCTGTACCCTGTTATTCTGGTCCCTGTTACTCTGGTACCTGTTATTCTGTTACTCTGGTCCCTGGTCCCTGTTACTCTGGTCCCTGTTACTCAGGTCCCTGTTACTCTGGACCCTGTTACTCTGGTCCCTGTTACTCTGGTCCCTGTTACTCTGGTCCCTGTCACTCTGGTCCCTGTCACTCTGGACCCTGTTACTCTGGACCCTCGTCGCTCTGGTCCCTGTTACTCTGGTCCCTGTTACTCTGTACCCTGTTATTCTGGTCCCTGTTACTCTGGTACCTGTTATTCTGTTACTCTGGTCCCTGGTCCCTGTTACTCTGGTCCCTGTTACTCTGGTCCCTGTTACTCTGGTCCCTGTTACTCTGGACCCCTGTCACTCTGGACCCTGTTACTCTGGACCCTGTTACTCTAGTCCCTGTTACTCTAGTCCCTGTTACTCTGGTCCCTGTTACTCTGTACCTTGTTACTCTGGTCCCTGTTACTCTAGTCCCTGTTACTCTGGCCCCTGTTACTCTTCCCGGTCCCAGGACCCTGTCACTCTGGTCCCTGTTACTCTGGTCCCTGTCACTCTGTACCCTGTTACTCTGGTACCCTGTTAGTCTGGTCCCTGTCACTCTGGACCCTGTTAGTCTGGTCCCTGTTACTCTGGACCCTGTTACTCTATACCCTGTTACTCTGGACCCTGTTAGTCTGGTCCCTGTCACTCTGGACCCTGTTACTCTGGTACCTGTTACTCTGGACCCTGTTACTCTGTTACTCTGGACCCTGTCTGGACCCTGTTAGTCTGGACCCTGTTACTCTGGACCCCTGTTACCCTACTCTGGACCCTGTTACTCTGGACCCTGTTAGTCTGGACCCTGTCACTCTGGACCCTGTTACTCTGGACCCTGTTAGTCTGGTCCCTGTTACTCTGGACCCTGTTAGTCTGGTCCCTGTCACTCTGTACCCTGTTACTCTGGACCCTGTTAGTCTGGACCCTGTTACTCTGGACCCTGTTAGTCTGGACCCTGTTACTCTGGTCCCTGTTAGTCTGGACCATATAACCCTGTTATTCAGAACACAGTTATTCAGTACCAGTACCGAGAGAACCACCCCACAACTACCAGCACTGCGGCTGGATGTCTCACCTTGTTGAGGATGAGGACTGACGGTATGTGGGGGTTCAGATGAAGATGCCTCAACACTACAGGGTCCAGACGGTCCCTCTTCCAGGCGTCTGACACATCCACCAACACACCCACTGAAACACAGACACCTCACTGAAACAGACACAGACACCTCACTGAAGCACAGACACAGAGCACAGACCTCACTGAAGCACAGACACAGACACCTCACAGACACAAACACAGAGCACAGACAGACCTCACTGAAGCACAGAGAGACACCTCACTGAAACACAGACAGACACCTCACTGAAGCAGACACAGACACCTCACTGAAGCACAGACACAGACACCTCACTGAAGCACAGACACAGACACCTCACTGAAGCACAGACAGACACCTCACTGAAGCACAGACACAGACACCTCACTGAAGCACAGACAGACACCTCAGCACAGACACAGACACCTCACTGAAGCACAGACACAGACACCTCACTGAAGCACAGACACCTCAGTGAAAAGCACAGAACACTGATCCATTGACTGGAAGCAATGATTGATCCAGCAGAAACAACACTAATCAGCAGAAACAACTACTAGTGGAATTCTTAGTTAAACAAGTTAACGTTTATTCTTAGTTAAAATTCATTTTTTTTCAGTTTACCTTTACAACGTTGTGCATTCCTAACTTTCTGAATCGATATATCTCTACGTCACAAAACAATCTCAATATGTTCCACGTCCTAAGTCTAAAGCTGACTCTCTACAGTGACAACTAACCCTTCATTACAAGCATATCTATGGATGTTACCTATCATATGTCAACAGCCCAGCTGACTACAATTGCTCGATATGTGGTGGACAAGGCATGAGTTTTACACATTCTTACAACTGTCCACAAAGTCATGTGTGTTTGCAGGAACCATTCTAACACTCAGCAACTAAAAGAACGGAAATAAGCACACACAATACCTAAACAGAACATTATCATTATTGTATTTGACGCTGTTTACCTATGTCAGCCTGGTCCAGACTTCGAGCTGGGTCCAGGAAGTGGCTCTTCTCCAGGCCATGTCTGAAACAAAGTAGACAATCCTAATTCCAAGGTTGTACTCAACAGTGTTGACACATGCTCAACTCAACTACATTTTGGATACATAATTAAATATACCAAATGCCAGGCAGCATTGAACACGGTCTGTTGGCAGACCTTTGCATGTGCTTTAACATTTATTATCATACACCTGTGAATAATATGGACCATTTTGCACATATAATGCTGGCTGTCCATATTGACCACCTGGGCTGAAAATGCATATCAGCCCCAGGGCCGAAAATCCATATGAGCCGTATTGCCCAGTCTAAGTAAACTTAGGCTCAGTATTATTCGTTACACTGCTATACTGAGTGTAACAAAAGCTAGTAGAAGGTTGCGTCAGGTAACCTTTTGGACTGACCAATCAGAACACAGCTTACCAAATCGCGAAAGTTAACATTCGCAATTACCGTTTGAACCTTTACCTCAAAATCTCGAACGATTCCGAATGCTATTTTCCGCACGATCACTTTCGAGTCGCTGAAAATAGCGCTTTTGTCAATATTCAAGGATGTCATCTTGCGAAAATATAAGCAAACAGTAACGATGTCATTAGAAACCTATAAGCGTATATACTGCAGGTCAAACATCTGTGTTTTATGTGGATTTTCCTTTGTTGATAGATCAGTGGCAGTGACCAGGTAAGAGAAAATCCAAAAAACGTTTTGTAAGTCCTGCCGAACCCTAACAAGTAGTTGTTGTCTGATTGGTTCAGTCCGTTCAGCAGCCTCGCGTTTGATTGGACGGTCATAGGTTGCTCAAAGGTTAGCTGATGCGACCTTCTACTAGGTTTAGTTAGACTCAGTATAGCAGTGTAACAAATAATACTGAGCCTAAGTTTACTAAGACTGCCGTATTGCCCAGCTACTAAACTGGTACGGAATGAACACACGCAAATGCTCGAAACTTCAATAGATGGAGCCTAGTTTATTTTAGTGTTACGTCCCTTGATGTGGTGTCTGATAAAAAGGTTATGATATTACAGTTTCCCTTTCGCCAGTCATATAAGCCCTCGACTACCATATCAGGGCTGATATGACTGGCGAACGGAAAACTCATGTAATAACGTCTTAATACAGGGTTTGATATTTGTTACTGCTGCCATGTATTTCACCCTTTCTACTTCCAAAATATACTGCATGTTTGGATATAATTTACTGATTTCTCAGCGATCTTTTCTGGTCGTTTACTGATTTCTTTATATAGGTTTGTATGTTCCAATGTCTGTGTATATATTTTCCCTTTAATTAAGAAATTACTTCATTAGAAAAGTACATGATGCTACACTGCTGTATCTCTGTACCTTTTCTTCTCCATGGGATGCATGATGCCAGGTGTGTCGATGAATACCTGTAATCAATGACACAATCATATTTACAATGAAGGAACTGAAAGGTCAGTTAGACCTAATACTATGTTGCACTCGAATCATGAAGCAAGACTCTTTCTTTAAATATGCTTTAGAGGTAGTAGTATTTAAAGTTTGCAACATGCATGTATGAGGACATGTATCCAGGCCAACGTACACAAACTATTAATATCATTCACTTCCCCTCAACACAAACAGAATTATTAACATATTTCAGTCCCCCCAGACCTCAGGTGCCTGGCTATTCAATCAGAATTCCCTGTCTGTCGAACAGGACACATTCAGCTATTCTCATTCTATTCAACCAGGCCTCTGCCTACAATATTCATATACTCTATTCAACCAGATCTCACATTTTCAACCAGATCTCACCCTACAATATTCATTTACTCTATTCAACCAGATCTCATTCAACCAGATCTCCTACAATATTCATTTACTCTATTCAACCAGATCTCACCCTACAATATTCATTTACTCTATTCAACCAGATCTCACCCTACAATATTCATTTACTCTATTCAACCAGATCTCACCCTACAATATTCATTTACTCTATTCAACCAGATCTCACCCTACAATATTCATTTACTCTATTCAACCAGATCTCACCCTACAATATCCTTTACTTTTACTCTATTCAACCAGATCTCACCCTACAATATTCATTTACTCTATTCAACCAGATCTCACCCTACAATATTCATTTACTCTATTCAACCAGATCTCACCCTACAATATTCATTTACTCTATTCAACCAGATCTCACCCTACAATATTCATTTACTCTATTCAACCAGATCTCACCCTACAATATTCATTTCTTTTACTCTATTCAACCAGATCTCACCCTACAATATTCCTTTTTACTCTATTCAACCAGATCTCACCCTACAATATTCTATTTACTCTATTCAACCAGATCTCACCCTACAATATTCCTTTACTCTATTCAACCAGATCTCACCTACAATATTACCAGATTTTTTACTCTATTCAACCAGATCTCACCCTACAATACAATATTCCTTTACTCTATTCAACCAGATCTCACCCTACAATATTCCTTTACTCTATTCAACCAGATCTCACTTCTACAATATTCCTTTACTCTATTCAACCAGATCTCACCCTACAATATTCCTTTACTCTATTCAACCAGATCTCACCCTACAATATTATTTACTCTATTCAACCAGATCTCACCCTACAATATTCCTTTTACTCTATTCAACCAGATCTCACCTACAATACAATATTCAACCTTTACTCATTTATTCAACCAGATCTCACTTCTACAATATTCATTTACTCTATTCAACCAGATCTCATATTAGTTTTCTACAATATTCAATATTCTTTACTCTATTCAACCAGATCTCACTTCTACAATATTCCTTTACTCTATTCAACCAGATCTCACCCTACAATATTCATATACTCTATTCAACCAGATCTCACCCTACAATATTCCTTTACTCTATTCAACCAGATCTCACCCTACAATATTAGTTTACTCTATTCAACCAGATCTCACTTCTACAATATTCCTTTACTCTATTCAACCAGATCTCACCCTACAATATTCATTTACTCTATTCAACCAGATCTCACCCTACAATATTCATTTACTCTATTCAACCAGATCTCACCCTACAATATTCAATTACTCTATTCAACCAGATCTCACACTACAATATTCAATTACTCTATTCAACCAGATCTCACCCTACAATATTCCTTTACTCTATTCAACCAACCTAATGGCTACTTACAATCTGTGTATTTCCTTCTGTGTGGACGGCCATTGAGTTCTGTCTTGTTGTGTGAACCTTCTTGGATACAGCGGATACCTATAACACCAGTAAGTGAACAACCGAGCTTTGAAACCAAATGAAAACAAGAAGACAAAGTCATCAATATCCCCCGCAATGGCAAAATACTCTTCATGATTATGTCTACGAGGTATGATTATTTCAAATATTTAGGTGTGTATATAGAAAAGTGGAAGGAGAGTATTGAAAGGTTTTAAAAGTTCTGCTCCAGAACTGACTGACTGACTGAGTTTAGTTTTACGCCGCTTTTAGCAATATTCCAGCAATATCACGGCGGGGGACACCAGAAATGGGCTTAACACATTGTGCCCATGTGGGGAATCGAACCCGGGTCTTCGGCGTGACGAGCCAACGCTTTAACCACTAGGCTACCCCACCGGCCCTCTGCTCCAGAAAATGGCACTACCACCAATTTCAGTCTATGTCAAACTTGTTGCCATGGAAACGCCAAAAATATTTTATTCAGAATTCCAAAACTACCAAAAGGCACCAGTACACTACCAGATCTATCCATGGACCAAGTTTGGTGAAGAAATATTGAACGGTTTTAGAGTTCTGCTCCGGAAAAGACAAATGTGCACGGACGGACGGACGCATGGACGGAGTACATTTTAATACCCCCCGCAAAACACATTGCGGGGGATAACAAGAGTCATCAGAAGATGACAAATCTCCCCGGACCACATAAATTTGAAAGAACAAATCAACTGACAGTTACTTAAAGTCCAACTTGATTTATTTGGACTATGTCCAAATCGTTGCCATGGAAATTATGAAAAATAAAAAAGCCAAAAATCTGCAAATAGCAAAAGGCACCAATTCAAGATATGTCTCATATATCTGCCAAGTTCTCTTGAAAGATATTGAACGGTTTTCGAGTTGTGCTCCGGAAACGAAGCTCATCCCTCCCTTTTGAGACTAAGTCCAAAACGTTTACAAGAAAAAGAAAAATGCCAAACATCTGTTAATAGCAAAAGGCACCACTTTAGCTTATGTTTGATATATCTACCAAGTCTTGTAGAAAGATATTGATCGGTTTTCGAGTTGTGCTCCGGAAACGAAGGCAACCTCTCCCATTTGACTTTGAGACTAAGTCTGAATCTTTCCAGGGAAACCGGGGAAAAATAAACATCCTAAAAATTTGTAAATAGCAAAAGGCACCACTTTGGGATCTGCCTCACATATCTGCCAAGTTTTGCTGAAAGATATTAAGAAGTTTTCGAGTTGTGCTCTGGAAACGAAATCCACCCCTCCCTTTTGAGACTAAGTCCGAATCGTTTCCATGGAAACCGAGAAAATAATAAATCACAAAAGTCTGTAAATAGCAAAAGGCATCACTTTAGGTTCTGTTTGATATATCTACAAAGTTTTGCAGAAAAATATTGAACGTTTTTTTAGTTATGCTCCTGAAACGAAGCACACCACTCCCTTTAAGCTTTTAAGACTAAGTCCAAAATGTTTCGATGGAAAACGAGAAAAATAAAAATGACAAAACTCTGTAAATAGCAAAAGGCACCCCCCTTAGGTTCTGTTTGATACATCTACCAATTTTTGTTGAAAAATATTGAGTTTTTGAGTTATGCAAAAACAAAATGATTATGGACATACAGACAGATGGACTAGGCGTCGACTATATCCCCCCGCATTACATGCCGGGGGGATAAAAAGTGTAAAAAATTAAAAACAAAATGTTTTAAAATGGTTACACATATCTATTATTTGAGTATTCAGTCTAATATAACATAGTAGTAACACCAGAAGCAGGTTCCACACTTGGTGTATGTATATTAAGACAGTGCCACATTCCAGTGTCTGAGATAACTGCCAGGTTGCCATGAGGAGCCACAGACTTCACAAGCTGCAGGCCCTGACAGAACTCTTGAGGCCCTCCTTTAAAATCTATAGCTTCATGTGACGTATAATTTACTACAGATTATATAAATTTGAAACAATGGCCTTGCTCACACCCGCACACACTCTTAGGTTCAGTGACCGCCTCCGTGGTGTAGTGGTTAGAGCGTCCGCCCGGAGAGCGGAAGGTCGCAGGTTCGATCCGCGGTCGCGTCATACAAAAGACGTTAAAATATGGTACTTGTTGGTCCCTGCCTGGTGCTCGGCATTAATCGGTACAACAAGGACTGGTCAGCTCTGAGTCAGTATAATATGTCTGAATGGGGTATTCATGCTTCACTGCGGCATGGTATCTCAGTGGGCTAGCACTATAAAACCAGCTTAAGTCTGGGCTAGTACAAGCAGCCGCACATACACATACACACGCATGCACGTCGTCATATGAGCGAAATATTCTCAAGCACAACGTAAAACCCAATTTCACCTAACCTCACTCCCACGCACACTCTTAGGTTCAGTAGCTCACCTTCCAGCCCATGAGTCTGTTGGTGAGTGTGGACTTCCCTGAGTTGGGTATACCAATGATGGCGACCCTCAGCGTCCGGGCGTCTGGCGGCTGGTCTGGCTTCATGAGGAGACGCCAGTGCTGGCCATCTGTACAGGACATGGGGGGTTTATGTATGTGTTGCAAGTCAAACATTGATTGTGGTGAGATAAATGATGTTCAAGTTAACTATCACAGGTCTCATCGTCCTCAAAACTTTCTGCACTTTAGCTAGATCTATCACTGCTTCATACTGTACCCAGAAAAAACACATAATTCTTGGCAATGTTGGCAAAACCTGAAAGGCTGTTTTTATGTTAAAAGAGATGAGTACTGGCCTGACTTCATATTGCAAAAATGATTCAAGTATTGTGACACTTACCACAATATATTATGAATACACAATGCCATTTAGAAAGTGGTCAAATGTACCAGGTTATATTTGGGAATGCACTTTTTTTAGTAATTGAGTAAAGTACAGATTCTAGTACTTTTATTGGGTTGAGTCCTATCTGGGATTCGAAACCACACCCTCAAGGCAGGCACCTAATTGCCAGCACACAAAGTCAGCCATCTAACCCACTCAGCCACCGCTCCACAATGTGATGGCTGAGTGGGTTAGGCCATTGAGGCCTAATAAAAAATGTTGTGGTTCCGATTACCCGACCGACCCTTGAATTCTGGTGCCGGATCTATTTTTTTAAGCGGTATGAATAAAATAAGCTTTCAGATACCATTTTTTATTCCCAGCACCGACAGACATCGATCATTCTGATAGAGAAAGTCGACATGATGCCTATAAGCTTGATTGTATAAACAATTACACATTGATAAATGTGTTCTTAGTTTGAGTTGTTTTTTTACTTCTAAATAAAATGTGGAAAAACAAAAATTCCTACCTACCTACCCTAAATTTTAAAGAGGTGTAATTGGAACCACAACATTTTTTTACTTGGCCTGACTTTGTGTGCTGGTACCACAATATATTGCTCGAAGTTAGCAAGAGTACTGATACAATGGACTTCTCCCTCCAACATATTGTTGGATGTTGCTATGGGAACTCAGTATATTCCAGAAGCTGTTAGAATAGTTTCACTTTTTAAATCACAGGACTGAAACAGTTAAGTACTGTTTTTGATCATTTTGACTTGTCACTTGAAAAATGCAATATACTGGATTTTTTCTAAATGTATTGTGATACATATTCATTAGCATGTTTTTGTGGTATACTGGATTTTCTGACCGCATCTAATTATCAACTTGACATTGTGCATATCAGTGTGGACTTGATTAACATTCTCAGCTCCCTGGGGAGTATGCAACTAAAGGTGCCTGTTCAGTGCTAGAAGGTTAACAGTCCCTACTATCATCCTACCGGGTACCCATTCACTGCTGGCACTTGTTACTTCATTCCTTTCGTACCCGTGAAGGTCCGGGTTAGAATATTGGCCTTCAGTAACCCATGCTTGTTGTAAGAGGAGACTAACGGGATCTGGTGGTCAGACTCGCTGACTTGGTTGACAGAGGTCATCGGTTCCCAATTGCGCAGATCTATGCTCATGCTGTTGATCACTGGATTGTCTGGTCCAGACTCGATTATTTACAGACCGCCGCCATATAGCTGGAATATTGCTGAGTGTGGTGTAAAACTAAACTCACTCACTCACTCATACCTTTCGTCATGCTAACATTCCGTTGTGGTTCTCCTGATGTCATGTGACCTTCAGCCACCAGTTTAGCGCTAAAAGTCACTATTATCATCCTAACAGGTACCCATTCAGTGCTGGCTTTTGTTACTTCATACCTTTTGTCATGCTAACATTCCGTTGTGGTTCTCCCGATGTCTTTTGACCTTCAGCCAAGTGTTCATCTGGAATGCTGCTTGGCTGTGCTGACAGACTTGATGAGGGTGAAGCTGAAGAATTGGCTGACTCAGCTGTACTTGAGGACGAGCCTGCTGCGGCTGTGAGATGCCTCCGTGTATAGTTGTACTGCATGCAGCACCATGTAACAGCTGAAACACATAAGAGGGCGTGACTGACTGACTGAGTTTGGTTTTACGCCGCTTTTAGCAATATTCCAGCAATATCATGGCGGGGGACACCAGAAATGGGCTTCACTCATTGTACCCATGTGGGGATTCAAACCCGGGTCTTCGTCGTGACGAGCCAACCCTTTAACCACTAGACTACCCCACCGCCCCAAGAGGGCACGAAGTCATCCAACACACGACATCTTTACCCTGTCAGCCTCCTCACTGGTTTAACCCCTTTGGTCATGTGGGCAAGGCATGCGAGTCTCGATCAGAAGGTCCATGGTTCGAATCCCAGGATGGGATTCAGAACCTTTAGAGACATTACAAAAACAGAGTGAGGTTTTGACACTGTTCTACTTCTAGCACGTTGTGATTCCAGGTGAGAAGTGCCCAGCAACCCATTCTGGCCATCACAGGTGACCAAATGGATCAGCTGGTGGTCAGACGCTGTGACCTGGTTGGCCGACTCTGTCTGTCTGATGGTCTCTGATTGGGCACTGGTCATTTCTATAAGGGGCTGTAGGAATGGCCGTGTAACATACAGGAAATTCCATTTTAAGCTATCTTATTTTCAGTGTAGACATTCAGAAAAGGTTGATGTGGATACAGTATCAGTTTGTCTGCGATCTTTATGTGTGTATATATGTGACTGCGTCTTTCTGTGTCTATGTATCTGTATGTGTCTGTGTCTGTGTGTATCTGTATGTGACTGTGTCTGTATGTGTCTATGTATATGTGTATGTGTGTGTGTGTATCTGTATGTGTCTGTGTGTATCTGTATGTGCCTGTGTGTATCTGTATTCTTGTGTGTCTGGAAGTACATGACCAGTGAATGTCCTAGTTTACCATATCACTGTCATTAGGAACAATAAACCTGAAACCCGGAATTACTAGTGTGAAACAGACAGAGGTTTAGGGTGGTTTCAGTATTTCAACACAACAATTCCAATACAAGGTTACAAAAGGTCCCTTTGTGATGAGATTATTTTGGAAATGATAACACGATTTACGACCGCTTCCTTAATGTGACGAGCTTGTTTCCCATAATATTGATACAAAGTGTATTCGCCGACCATTGTGTTACAGTAATTTCATACCAAATATTAATTCCAAGTACAATGGAAACCACGTCATTGTTGATATGTTATGATAATATGACAATCTACAACGTATAAAAACAACTGACCTTACGTCCTAACCAGCCCAAGTTGTAAATGTAATGTTACCCATGGAACACTACTACTTGTACCTAGGTTGTGCCATTCTACAAGATTTAAACTCATTTCGGTGTTTAACAGCTATAATGAGGTACGAAGTCCGTGACTTACATCGTTTAACACATGATGCAGCTTCAACTGCAGCAAATATACTTGTCGGACTACTGCGCGATAACATGCTTCTCATGGGCGCCGCCATCTTGAAATAATGTCCTTGTGAGTTACTTCCCTTTGACCACAACGAACCTCTGCAGTACTTACTGCATGCCTATAATTTACGAGTGATCAAATAATGGCACTGAACGCGCCAAACATTCGTGGCATAAACGTCGTACATATCAATCGAGGACTCGCTGGCCTTATATTTTATTCATTTTTGGAAACATTTGTGTGGAATCGGCCAACCTAGCTCTTCCTGAACCGTTGTCATGAAACGAACAGGCCTAAATACATCATCTCGACATGTGACATGAATACTCGTGAAGTCATTCATCACTGCGTATTTCTTGTGTATTTATTTCGGTGCAGCAAAATCATTTCCTACTGTGTACCAAATGGTACAAGAACAAATATTAGTTGAATGAATAAACAAAAAGATTTTGTGAGTGTGACGAGTTGGTGCCTGACACCGAGGGTGTGGGTTCAAATCCCAGATGGGACTCAATTACCCATAGTAATAGTAATAGAATTTGTACTTAACCAAGAAAGTGATATTATAACATATTCCAAAACTGTCATCTGTTGAAACAATCTGCCTATTTGAAAACACGTCAAAAATAAGTGAGTGAGTGGGTGAGTGAGTGTTATTTGCAATATTCCAGCAATATAAAACTGACAATGATTGATATTGATAAAAACAGGCAAAGCAGAGACTAAAACATCAGCAACAACTCACGTCACCGGGCAGTATGAAACCCAACTCGAACAGTCAACAAGCCTGACCCCAGATCTAACGTACCCTGGGTACGTGAAGAGTATCCTGACCCGGGTACAGAATGCCATTAGACCTCACATTGTTGGTTGTTCTACGAGACCGAATAAAACAACCCAAAATGCTTGAATTCAGAAAAAGAAAGACCCAATTTATTTTGGCTGGCTGTGTTACTTAACGGTCTCAAATCTTAGTTTCTTGTCTAAAGTCATAGAGCGAGCAGTGTCTAAGAGATTAATGGATCACATTTCATCCAACAATATCCTTGACCCATTCCAGTCTGCATACAGGCCATTCCACATTACTGAGACCATTCTCCTTCGTTTAGTGAATGATCTCAGAATGATCCTGGACAGTGGCAATATGGCGGCATTAGTCCTACTCAACCTAAGTGCCGCGTTTGACACGGTTGACCACAAGTGCCTGTTACACACATTGGAACATGAAGTTGGTGTCAAAAGACTAAGAAAACCTCCATCTGCAATGTGAAGATTTCAACATCTCACATTCAACCTTCCCCTGTCACTAAGGATCTTGGTGTATATCTTGATGCCAGTTTGTCTTTGGAATCGCAAGTCAACCATCTTTATAAGAACTGTCACTATTATCTGCGAACCATCAGCTCCATTAGAAATCTCATCACAACAGAATGTGCTCATTCTTTGGTTCGATCCATTATACTCTCTCGACTCGACTATTGCAACAGTCTGCACTTTGGCATCAGTTCAACTCAACTTCAGAAACTTCAAAAATTACAGAACTCAGCAGCTCGCATCGTCTGCCTCAAGTCCAAGAAAGATCATATCACACCTTCACTGATGTCTCTACACTGGTTGCCTGTCAAATTCCGGATTGACTTCAAAATTCTATGTATCACTTTCAAAGCTCTACATGGACAAACACCTGAATACCTCTCCAGTCTTCTGTGTCAGTACATTCCAACCCGACCATTACGATCCCAGAATCACCAGCTACTTGTCATTCCTAAAGTTCGACTCTCATCCTATGGGAAAAGATCATTCCAACACGCAGCCGCCAGTCTCTGGAACAACTTGCCCACTCACATCAAGAATGCTGAATCTTTGGACACATTTAAATCGTCTCTAAAAACCCACTTTTTCGTCTTGCCTATTACTAGACTTTCTATGTTCAATTGTCTCTCTGTAAATAGTTTTAACTATTTTTTTTTCTCCTATAGTATTGTAGCGCCATGAGCGGGTATTAGTACCTGGATGTAGCGCTATATAAATACCCACATTATTATTATTAAGACGGGCTAGATTTCTGCCGGACGGTCTAATTTTACAGCTAGCCAGCCTGATGGACAGGTGAAAACAATATTCAAATAACGTGTCCACTGGCACTGTCTATTTAGTATTTAAGAAGGACTGGTTAAATCTCTTCTGGGCTGGTAAGTTTTTGAAGTTACCAGCCCAGATGTCTGGCTGGGTTTTGGGCATATTTCATACACTGATATAACATAAGAGAGAAACTTTCAAATTCAGATGAAAATGGCAAGGGCTTTTTTTCCATCATTTGGTTTACGGAATGCTCGTAAACTGACTTTTAAATATTTGTTTCTCCAAGCGACTGCGTTAACTAATGGCAGTTTAAAATATAGGAAGATTGATATGATCACATAAACCTGACTTTAACGATGACTTCCAGCAGTGTTCAGCACATGACATGATAACCAGGCCTACACCAGCTTGAAGTGTGGACAAGCTCAAGTATGCCAAAATTTATAACGAACTGTGTATAAATCTGGAGCCCAGAGCTAAATGCTTGAAACAAGGTCAAAGCCGCAAATAATTTTTCTGTGCCAATCCTTCATTTATTCCGTTTTTGTAGTTGACTAGACAAATCAGGACATCCAGAGTCTTTACGGCATCACTGGAGGGATCATGTCTGACGTCAGAGCCGACTTGTTCTTCTCTTAATTCATTTTATATACCAATCAGGTTAGGTTTAATTAATTCGGAGACTCTTCATAACGAATGTTGTGTATCTTTGGACAACCGTGTGTATTTGATGATCCCGTGATGAGTCACGTCAAGACTCGTGACGAAAGCAAGAAATTCCTCAGCTATTTCAAGCACGCCAAGGTTGTTGGACAGGATATCAACGTTGAAATTGATTTGGCTGATGGCGATGTACAGCAATGGGTGTAAACGGTACAGCGATGGGTGTAAACGGTACATCAATGGGTGTAAACGGTACAGCGATGGGTGTAAACGGTACAGCAATGGGTGTAAACGGTACAGCGATGGGTGTAAACGGTACAGCCATGGGTGTAAACGGTACAGCAATGGGTGTAAACGGTACAGCAATGGGTGTAAACGGTACAGCGATGGGTGTAAACGGTACAGCGATGGGTGTAAACTGTACAGCGATGGGTGTAAACGGTACAACGATGGGTGTAAACGGTACAGCGATGGGTGTAAACGGTACAGCGATGGGTGTAAACTGTACAGCAATGGGTGTAAACGGTAGGTGGGTGTAAACGGTACAGCAATGGGTGTAAACGGTACAGCAATGGATGTAAACGGTACAGCGATGGGTGTAAACGGTACAGCGATGGGTGTAAACGGTACAGCAATGGGTGTAAACGGTACAGCGATGGGTGTAAACGGTACAGCAATGGGTGTAAACGGTACAGCAATGGGTGTAAACGGTACAGCAATGGGTGTAAACGGTACAGCAATGGGTGTAAACGGTACATCAATGGGTGTAAACGGTACGGTGGGTGTAAATGGTACAGCAATGGGTGTAAACGGTACAGCAATGGGTGTAAACGGTACAGCTATGGGTGTAAACGGTACATCAATGGGTGTAAACGGTACGGTGGGTGTAAATGGTACAGCAATGGGTGTAAACGGTACATCAATGGGTGTAAACGGTACAGCAATGGGTGTAAACGGTACAGCGATGGGTGTAAACGGTACAGCGATGGGTGTAAACGGTACAGCAATGGGTGTAAACGGTACAGCAATGGGTGTAAACGGTACAGCAATGGGTGTAAACGGTACAGCCATGGGTGTAAACGGTACGGTGGGTGTAAACGGTACATCAATGGGTGTAAACGGTACAGCAATGGGTGTAAACGGTACAGCAATGGGTGTAAACGGTACAGCGGTGGGTGTAAACGGTACAGCAATGGGTGTAAACGGTACGGTGGGTGTAAACGGTACAGCAATGGGTGTAAACGGTACCAATGGTGTAAACGGTACAGCAATGGGTGTAAACGGTACAGCGATGGGTGTAAACGGTACAGCAATGGGTGTAAACGGTACAGCAATGGGTGTAAACGGTACAGCAATGGGTGTAAACGGTACAGCAATGGGTGTAAACGGTACAGCAATGGGTGTAAACGGTACAGCAATGGGTGTAAACGGTACATCAATGGGTGTAAACGGTACAGCAATGGGTGTAAACGGTACATCAATGGGTGTAAACGGTACAGCAATGGGTGTAAACGGTACAGCAATGGGTGTAAACGGTACAGCAATGGGTGTAAACGGTACAGCAATGGGTGTAAACGGTACAGCGGTGGGTGTAAACGGTACAGCAATGGGTGTAAACGGTACATCAATGGGTGTAAACGGTACAGCAATGGGTGTAAACGGTACAGCAATGGGTGTAAACGGTACAGCAATGGGTGTAAACGGTACAGCAATGGGTGTAAACGGTACAGCAATGGGTGTAAACGGTACGGTGGGTGTAAACGGTACAGCAATGGGTGTAAACGGTACAGCGATGGGTGTAAACGGTACAGCAATGGGTGTAAACGGTACAGCAATGGGTGTAAACGGTACAGCAATGGGTGTAAACGGTACGGTGGGTGTAAACGGTACAGCAATGGGTGTAAATGGGTGTAAACGGTACAGCAATGGGTGTAAACGGTACAGCAAATGGGTGTAAACGGTACAGCAATGGGTGTAAACGGTACAGGGTGTAAACGGTACAGCGATGGGTGTAAACGGTACAGCAGTGGGTGTAAACGGTACAGCAGATGGGTGTAAACGGTACAGCGATTGGTGTAAACGGTACAGCGATTGGTGTAAACGGTACAGCGATGGGTGTAAACGGTACAGCAGTGGGTGTAAACGGTACAGCGATGGGTGTAAAGATGAAGGTGAAGTCATTCACCACGTCAACCCAGAGTATGTCATTGAAGGAGAAGCTTTGCGGGAAACCACTGCACCGTGTGTGTATGCAGTGTGTGGAACAGAATAGCACTCCAACGGACTCCTTTGACTGGATAAAGTCGGC